GTGAGGATGTCCCTTCCCCATAGAGACACTGGCAACTGCAACACAAATGGTTGGAAATGGCCCTGATGACCCTCCTCATCGCACCAGAGCAGGGTTGAAGCACTAACCTGAGGAGCTGACACCATCCCCAGGCCCTGCAGCGTGTTATCTGCAGTGTTGGTGGGCCAGTTGGAAGGCCAAACCTTTTTGGAGATAATGGAACGGTCAGCTCCTGTATCTAGGAGCCCTGTTATATTCTTGCCATTGACCTTAAGTGAGAGCATGGGCCTTTTATCAAGTGTCACATGGAGTCCCTCGAAGACTTCCCCTGAGGAACCGAAACCTTGACTTTCTCTAATTTTCTGCTTTGAGGGAAATCTCTTGTGGAGACTGGGGAGCAGCAAGAGCTGCGCTATCTTGTCTCCTTTATTGATTACCATAGTACCCACAAGAGATTGAACCATAATTTTAATGTGTCCTGTGTAGTCTGAGTCTATGACCCCCGGGACTACTATGAGACCCCGAAGGGCCGTGGAGGATCTCCCGATCACCAGACCCACGGAATTTTCGGGTAATGGTCCCTTAAAAGTGGTTTCAACCACTCGAACACCCATATCAGGCACTAATATAAGTCTGGAGGCGACACTGAGGTCCACACCTGCTGACCCAGGGGTGGCCCTTGTTGAAGGCTGCCATCCTGAGCTGTCCTGTCTCTGGGGCGGGGGCCCGCCTGTGAAGGGGGCCCCCTCTGGCCGTTTTTTGGCCCTCTAGCATCTCGTCCACAAATACGGTTGCCCTGAGCATCAAAGACCGACCTACACTCCTCAGCTTTGTGTGATCCCCTCTTGCATCGCCCACAAACATATGGTTCTTCATTCCTAGGACGAGGCCTAGCATCTGCATTGTTTGGGCAATGACGTTTAATGTGTCCTGGCTCCCCGCAGGCAAAACACCCTTTAGCCTTACATTCCCCTTCTAACCCGCGAGGTCCCCTCTGCTGTACAGCCGCGGCCAGGAGAGCAGCCACTCCCGAGTTGGAGAGCGGCCCCCCTATCTCTCTACATATCCTAATCCAGGCGTTGAGGTCCTTGTTCTTATGAGGAGCTATCGCTGCCTTGCACTCCTTTGTACATTGCTCAAAAATCAGCTGCCTTACCAGTGGTCGAGCCACTCCCGGATCAGAAAATATCTTATCGGCAGCATCTTGCATTCAGGCCACAAAGTCAACAAATGGCTCTGTGGTACCCTGAATTATTTTTGAAAGACACAAGGAGGCTGTTCCGGCACCACTTACCTGCTTCCAGGCGCGGAGCCCTATGGCGTTGATTTGTTCATAGACAGCGCCGGGGAACTGAGTCTGATCATCAGCGTGCCGACCTTCTCCCATAAGCATTTCCTTGTTCCACCCCCGGTTTCCCCGACTGGCGTTTCTCTCAGCCTGCTCTGCAGAGAACTCTGCGTACCAGGCTCGCCAATCCAGGTAACTACCCGAGGGCAGACACGCCTTTGCCAGCTGAATCCAGTCCGCGGGGGTGAGGGGCCCAGAAGACAGGTTCTCCAGCATGGCAATGGTGTAAGGCGCAGTCGGCCCAAAGGTTGTAACTGCATTTTTAAGTTCTCTAATCTGCTTTATCTCAAAAGGCTCCCATGCATTACGTCCCTGGCCCATAGCTACTTGTACAGGAAATATCCCGTAGGGGCCACTATCTATCCCAGGTGGTGGATGTACCTCATGAGACAAACGTCCCCCCTGCCAAAGCCGCCTGTAAAAATACCGACCCGCCGGCGGCGGAGCATAAGACGGCGGCCATGATTGGGCGGAAAATGGGGGCCCGTGCATCACTTCCTGTTCTGGCGAAGGGGAAGGGAGCTCCCGGGCGGCCGCCTCGCGGCGAGGGATCGCCTCCGGGAACAGCCCCCAAGGTGGGGCGGAAGGCTTCGCCTCCCTCTCGCGCCGGGGAGCGCTCAGGAGCTCTCTACTCCTCCGCAGACCAAGTTGAGCGGAGCGCAATTCACGGCGCAACGCTGGGAAAGAACCCTGCGACTCCTTATCGAGCGACTTAGGCTCCTGACAGCTGGTCTCTTTGGCCTCCTTGCCATTCAACTTTCCCTCGTCCTCGGAGTCAGACGACTCCGAGGCTAGAGCCCCGTCCTTCTCCTTAGCATCTTTGTTCCCCTTGACGGGCCCCTCTCGGGAGCTCCCCGACTGGGCCTGCTCAAATACCCTGCGTACTTTTGTAAGCTCTTGAGAGCTTTCTTCACAACCACCCTCGCTCTTAGTGTTGCTACCTAGCATGTTTCCCATCTTTTAATATGTTACTCACCGCGTGAGGCCCAAGGAATCCGCCACTTACGCGTGAGCCTGAGGGGAGTCTAAAAGCCCTGTAGGTGCGCGCCACCCAGAGCCCAGGCTTATCCCCAACTCACCTGTCTCGCAGCTCTGTACTGGAGCGTTGTCCGCTGTCACGTCTCGGGGGTGATCAGTCCCCGTGCGGGCCTCCAAATGTCGATGTCGCTCCCGGCCGGCAGGAAGGACACACGACAAAGTCTGGCAGTGGACAACCTTTTCTTTTATTTTCCTTCTCCGTACAGCCTGCCCTGGGATCGCTCCCAGCCGAAGCCTCCTTTGGTCCGCTCCCCGCGGCTCCTTCTAGGCTTCTACTTCTGGGCTTCTTCTTCCCCCCCAGGGGTGGCACCAGTATATATACGGATACAGTGTCCAATCATGTTAAAGTAAGCAAGGCAAGCTGATTGGCTAACATCATCAGTTGCCAGGCAGACTATATTGTTGAGCGGGTTGCTTACGCGGTAAGCAGGAAACTAACGTGCTCGATGGGAGGGGTAATCTACCTCAGGCTTTACTCTTTACTACAGGCCTCACGTCCGCCAAGTGAGGCGACCGGGCTCGGGGCTGCGGCTCCCAACAGTAGAGAATTTACCTAGCATGCAGGGAGCCCTGAGTTCAATCCCCAAACTGCAGGGAAAAGAGACACTGTGGCACTCACATGGATCCTGTAGATGCCGTGCAGTGTGCCGTGCACCCTGTAGGACCCATTCTATGTGTCTCTGTAACCTCTGCTGTCTAGAGCACAGATGATTGAGCTCCAGCATCTGCCCACTGCAGAGAAAGGTAAAAAGTTACAATGCCCCACAGTTACAATGATAATTAAATTTCTTACTGAAATACAAATTCATGTTGCATATAGTAATAAGAAATATGATCTTGTTTTGCATATATTTGTTTTTAATTTTTTAATAATTTTTTTTTATTTTACAAGGATATTGGTCTATGACAAATGGGAAATAAAAAGAAAACTGGGTTTTTTGCATAGAAGCCCTGAAAAATACTGAGTTATATCTGCATAGTTTATCCATACAGAGAGTTAAAATACTTTTATTTAAAAATATGACTCTCATCTGTATACTACTATGAAAAAATTGCCAGAGTATAATGCTATATCCTTTAAAGTAAAGAAAAATTGTACAATATCATTCCTTTTATCTAAGAGAACAGTTACGAATATATGAAAATAATACATATTGCCTTGTATAAAGTAAAATAGCAGAAAATAAAAAGATTTTTTTGGTGGTGGTATTGCATGGAGCCCAGGGACTTTGTGTGGAGCTACATTATTATGAACGTATGAATTTACTTATTATATATGTAAGCACCATAATTATTATCCCTCTTGGAGTTCAAATAAATTGCTCATCTTTGAAAGGTGACTGTATAATGGGGGCTCTTACTTCATGTTTTACATTTACATGTTTAAAAAGCAACATCTAAATATTGGTAGTAAAATAAACCTAAATATAAATCTAATCAATGCTATAACCACAAAGACAGAAACAATGCTAAGTGACTTGAAGTCTGACTGTATATCCTTCATGAAATACATGCTCCTCTGATACAGAGAACTGACAAACAAGGCATCAGGCCCTTTTAATATTGCTTCTGTAATTCTACAACTCATGCAGCTGGCTTGAGGGATCAAGCATGAGTCATTATGTCAGTTTCACAGGTTTCTGAAGCAGGCAAAATGAAGTGCAGATGTAAGATAAGTGAAATTAAGTTTAAAACACTGTGGCCTTGTGTGTTTGGTCTTTTTCATGGTCACCAAATAGCTCAGAAAGACAACTTAAAGCAGGAAGCTATCTTTTTGCTCACCGTGTCAGTGGGTGGAGGTGGGTTCTGTTGCTGTGGCCTGAGTTGAGGCAGAGCCTGGTGGCAGAAGGGTCCGGTAGAACAGAGCTGTCCACTTCATGATGGCTGAGAAGCAGAGCAACGGGAAAGAGCCAGAGCAGGAGCTGGGGACCAGACACAGACCCCACCGTCACCCCGCATGACCCTCTCCCTTGACTCGGTCCATCTCCACTTTCCATCCCCTCCCAGTAATGCCGTAAAATTACGATCTCATCAGAGGCCCCATCCACTGATGAAGTAAGAGCCCCATGATCCAGTTAGCTTCCAAAAATGAGCAATTTAAACGCCAAGAGGGATAATACTTATAGTGCATTACATATTCAATATGTAAGTGAATTCATATGTTCATGATACTTTAAAACAAGATATATAGATGGAGAGAGAGAGAGAGAGAGAGAGAGAGAGAGAGAGAGATGCTCTACTTCATTATTTGTAAAATAGTACATAAGGGGAAAAAAAAACATTTTTCCTGATTTTCCTTCATGGTTTTAGAGTACATGTCTGCACATGCTCAGGAGGAGAGAAAAGAAGAGAAGAATTTATACCAGTGATAAGCTTCTTGTTATTGGTTACTAGAATTATAATTATTTCTTGCTGTATTTTGGGGGGGTTTCTTCAGATACTTGTGTTAAACTTTAAAAATTAAATATGGGCTAGGGCTTTAGCTCAGTGGCACAAGTGCCTGCTGGGCAAGCACGAGGTCCTGAGTTCAATCCCTGGTACAAAATAAAAATACAAATAAATAAATATAAATTTATAGTAAAGTTCCAAGTTTTTATTAATTTATCTAATAAACTCTCTGATTTTTTTCTTTTAGACCTTCAAACAAGGTAGAAATATGGGAGGATCTGAAGATAATAAGTAAGCTTATTAGGATGTACAATAGCACATCCTTAAGTATTTATAAAGGATAATTTTGTACTGTGTTCTCTGAGTGCCTCCTTATAAGCTTTATGGAGTTGTCATCATGATTAAATAAAATAATATAAAACAAGTGACTATCTAATCATAGCAAGTATTCAGTGAATGTGATGTTACTGTTGTCCTTATTCTAATGACATGAAAAATTGTCCTAGACTACATATTTCTGCAGTAGGTCCTAACATCATTAACACTGTATTTTAAAGGAAGTTTTTACTTCAAGGGTCAGTGGTAGCTGTGTATCAAGTCCATGGGGACATTTTCCTTCTGGGAGACCTAGCAGCAGTCACCACTCGGCTCTCTCCTCCATCTTGGACATTCCTTGTTATGGTGCTGGGAAGTAGTCTCTAGATTTTCCCTGTCTTCCTGTACCTTCCCCAATCCTTCCTTCCTCTGCCGTGGAAGACTAGAGTTCTTCCCTGCCCTGCTGTTCTCTCTCCCTTTTAAGCTCACTCTTTGCACAACTGTGTTGAGGCAGCAACTCTCAGCACCTCTTAGTTTTCCTCTCTAAGATAATAAAACATGATTCTTCTATCCAACATTTTTTTATTGGTTATCACTCCAATTAAGAAACATACTAAAATTATTCTAAGCAAGTTGTTAAGGTGGTTGATTAAATATGAAATATTTGAAATGGATATATTTTTATTTTTAGACTTGACACAATTACAAATGTATTTTAAAGTCATTTTGTGAAGAACTAGTCATAGGGATGATTCATGATTTTACACATTTATTGGTGTCTTAGTAACAATACTGAAGAGTTTCTTTTCTCTCTGTAGGTTTCACAAGAAGTATTGTGGCTGTATACAGTACCTGTATGCTGGTTGTTCTTCTGCGGGTCCAGTTAAACATAATTGGTGGATATATTTACCTGGATAATGCAGCAGTTGGCAAAAATGGCACTGTGAGTTTATTACAATGAAGCACTTAGTGACCTTTCTTTCAACAGGTTCGAAGTTTAACTAAATATGATTTAGCTTGATAACAATTTCCGGGATATAAACATCTTTATGATTCATGATATTGTGAACTTTTAGCATCATGATTTTTTTGTCTTTTGAAAAATAAGACTTTTTCTGACGTGCTAAAGAATCTTATTTAACCTATTATTCCAGATCCTGAAAAATCTCACTTCAAGTTGTATAGAAAATTTGCTTCTTTATTTGTAAAAAACTAACTTAGCCTCTTTTCTGTTTTGACAGACAGTTCTAGCACCCCCAGATGTGCAGCAGCAGTATTTATCAAGCATTCAGCACCTCCTGGGAGATGGTGAGCTCTTGATTTATAACCTTGCTACGAATCTTAGTTTGTTGATTTGTATGATGGAAGAAATTGTCACGTGAGCAAGGCTTTTAATTTTCACGTGAGCAAGGCTTTTAATTTTGTTTATCCTTCAATAGGTCTGACAGAATTGATCACTGTCATTAAACAAGCTGTGCAGAAAGTTTTAGGAAGGTGAGGTGTTTTTCTTTGCCTTTTCTGACTGATTCTGATGAATGAAAGAAAACTTAAAATGTTTTAATGAAGTGAGTAACATAATAAATAGTGCTTTGTAAAATGCTTTGTAATCTAATACAGACACCATCCCTGGGTATTATGTTGCAAAATTCCCTTTCTTCATCAGTATCAACCTTTTGATACTGGAGGAAAGTTTTAATATTTCATTTATCGATTAATTTCCAAACTAATCAGAAATATTTGAGTCATGAGATAAAAGAGTTCCTTTAAAATCTGCTTCTGTGGCTTTTATCTACCACTTACACTAATAATAGCTGTAATTGTAGTAGAAATTTTCTTATAAAATCTGAGCTCTACAGTAATGACCCTAATCTTGTGGCTGATTTCTTAGTCTATTGTGGTACAGTTTGCAGTTTCAGGTTTGACGAGAAGAAACAAGATCTCAGGTAGTAGCCTATTAAGAAGAGAATGTGTATAAGAGTGTAAGTGTTGCATTGTTAAAATTTATTTCAGTTTTCTTTTCTCTTTTTCCAGTGTTTCTCTTAAACATTCTTTGTCTCTATTGGATTTGGAGCAAAAACTAAAAGAAATAAGAACTCTTGTTGAGGAGCATATACCTTCATCCTCGGCTAACAAGGATGGATCCAGATCTTTTTTATGCCATTATATGATGCCAGATGAAGAAACTCCATTAGCAGTTCAGGTGCTTCATTCAGAACTATTTTACCAACCCAGTTATTCTGTGCTTAATAAATTTGTTATTATCTCTTAAAATTTAGATTTCTGAGGCTTCTAAAAAGTAATTCAAAGACGTATATTTCCAAAATTTAATAAACTATGTTTAATTTAGGAAACAAAGTACATATGACTGATCCAATAGGATATTGGATCACTTATAATTTTAGATATCCAGCAAATTTTTATTAATAGTCATGTAGCGGGCACTATGATATGTGCTGGAAATCAGAGGAAAACATGTTCATTACTCTTAGAGAATTCAGAAGACAAATTAATCTATTGACTAAGAATAATAAAAATGCCAAAGATTATAGGTTATGGAGCTTATTTTTTTAACTTAGTAGTTTCTCACTAATAAGCAGATTCAACCCATTTCTTTCCACTTGGGATAAGAATCACTCTCACTTAACAAGAGAAACCCTAGGTTGGTCAGCGAGGCCTCTGTGCCACACCTCAGCACAGAGCCCGTGGACTGCAGTGCTATCTTTTCATGGCCTGCAGACCTCCCTGTGTCCTGAAGATCCCAAAGACGATCTTGGGCATTGGGAGACCCTGCATTCATGCGTGCACAAAAATAACTGCACCTCATATAAGAAAATCCCATGACTTGAGAGGGAAAGGCTAAAATAGAGGACACATGGAAAGAACTGCAGAAGACTTACTTACAAAATAGAACCCCACGAAGAAGCAGTAAGGAAAGTTTAAAAGCTTTCTGGAATATAAAATAATTTCCAAATTTTAAAATTCCACGATGGAACCAGAAAGAAAATAACTGAAAGGTATAGGTTAAGAAAGGAATGATGGACCAAGTCTTAACTGAACTAAGTTAAAACCTAAGACTTCACATGGAATGGACACACAGCGTCTCAGAATAGATGAACAAAAAAATCCAACATATCCTGATTAAATTTCTTGTACTCTCATAGCCTCTCCTTTCTTTGTTTATGTGTGCTTGGAATCTACCCAAGAAGGCCCAAAGAAACAAAACCCTACAAAGTATATACTCTGATTTGTGTTTTAACTACTACTCCCTATGCACATAAGCCTCTAGGCTTTGTGAATTTGGGAGTTTTGGTTGTTGACTGGACATAGACTTTTAGATTTTCTAAGCTCTGATGATTGTGAATGTGATTAGTTTCTTTGTGACCATGTGTGAATATTTGAAACCCTGAACTGTGGCATTTAATTTTATAGGCCTGTGGACTTTCTGCCAGGGACATTACCACTATTAAACTTCTCAATGAAACTAGAGACATGTTGGAAAGGTATGTAGACTGTATATAACAGGGAAAACCTGTTTGTGTTTTGGATACACCTAAGAGCATTTTTGGAATTTTCCTGAATAACACATTCAGCATAACATTGTGTTAAATTTTGAGTCTATTCCTTGGTTTTACATAGAATTTTCTACTTACACTAGAGGAAAGCAAGAATTTTTCTTTTAAGATACCCACTCTGCCCTCCCACTTTGCTGGACTATAGATTCTGATATACTGGTTGAAGAACTGGAAGGTAGTTTACCTTTATATTTTGAAAAAAGCGTTCCAGAATAGTAGTAAATATTTAACAACCAGGTCTGTGGGGGAAAAAAATTCAAACATCAGAAACCAGTATTATAGCTGCAGGAGATCTTAGGCTAACAACCTGAAGTCCTTGAATGCTGACTGGGGAGAAAGGAAGCTGCCCACGAGTATACACACATGCCTGCGTACCCTTGTACAAACACACACTCATGCTCCAGCTTAAGATACTACTCACTCAGCTTAACCTTTTTAAGGTAGATTATAAGATTCCTAAAAACATGAAATGATAAAAATTTCACTTCTCCCTACTATTACTATTATTATTTCGAATCACCCAAAGAGAATCACACTGTAAAAGCTGGAGGGAGCACCAAACTATGCATTAGAAGACCACATCACCTATTTAGTGTTGCCTCTTTTATTTATTAGCTGTGGAATGTTGACTGAACCGTTTAAACTCTTTAAGGTAATTTTATCATTGTGAAATAGTATTAGTGCTGTTTATCTTTAGTGTGAAAGTATGAAAATCTCTTTTAAAGTCTGATGTCGTAGTGCACACCTGCAATCTCAGCATTCAAGAGGCTGAGCAGCAGAATTCTCACAAGTTTGAGACCAACCTGGGCTGCAAAGTGAGCTGAAGGCCAGTCCGAACTACATAGCAAGACCTTGTCTTAAAAAGCCAAAAAAATAAAAATTAACCAAAAAAAAACAAGGAAACAAAATCTCTTTTAAATTAAAGTACTCTGTGCCTCGCTGAAGTAATTCAAGTCTGTTTCTCTAGTCAGCAGTTTTAGATTAACTAAACTGTGAATCCACTGTACGGATTCATCAAATTTTAGTCCTTTGTCTCTGTACAGTAACTTTCTACTTTTTCCTCATTCATGTTTTACCAAGTCACTCCATGAAGCTCTAGGAAAAAGGTATTGGAAATTGTTTTCCAAATCCAGAGAATTTTTAATGTTCATCTTAATTCCCCTTTGTCTGATAGTTGCCACTACCGGTCAAGCATTTATGCAGTTCTGTTGCCACCTGACCTGCATGACACTGTCACATTCTGCTTTCTCGTCTGAGTCTCAGGCCATCCCTTCATAGTTCCTCTGGCTTTACTTTCCTTTTAAACATTACATCTCTCAGGTGTTCCTACATCATCCTCAGCAGTCCCAGCCAATAACATACACTCCCAATGCTCAGATTCTGCTTCTGTATTAGGAGAAAAGTGGTGTATCTCTGTTACGGAAATGAAATCTGTATACAAGCAAATGGTCAACAGCCAGCTTTGTGAAAAGAACTGGTCAGCGTGTTAGAGATAGGACAAACTTCCTGGAGCTTAACATTTTAGTGGGAGAGAAAAAAGCCAGTAAACTAATAAAGCGAATAAAGTGTCCGAGGTTTATGACTTCATTGATGAGCGTGAGCGGGTGAGAGGTTAGAGGTATCCACCTGATGGTGTACAACTGTCATCCCAGCACTGGAAGACTGAGGCAGGAGGCTGAGGCAGGAGTGGTGCTGTGAGTCCGAGACCAGCCTGAACTGCTTGGTGAAACTCTGTCTTTATGTTTTTTAATGTTGTTTTAAAGAGAAAATAAAAGTAACTATAAAACAGAGTTTCGAAACAAGATAGTAAGAGAGTAGCAATAAATAATACATTGCATATTGTTGTCTTCCTAGCGGTTGTTCAGAGTACAAGATACAGGCATGAAATATTGTCCAAACAATATTAGAACAAGCGTTTTTTTTTTCAATGAACTAAAAGAAACTAGCTGTATAACTATCTTAACTATTATATATATATTCGTATTTTTTTCTTCTTTCTTTTCCCTTTTATCCCATCAACTTTTCTTTTCTCTTGAGTAGTTTCTTCCCCATTCACAATATCTGTTGTACTTTCTGGCTCTTATTTACTCATTCAGTTTTTCACACTAGTGAGACAATATAATATGTGGGTCTGATTACATATGTGTTTACATATGTGGGTCTGATTTATTTCACTTATGAGTATGGTCTGAGTTGCATCCATTTACCTATAAAAGTCTCGAGTTTATTCTTGATGGCTGACTTTAGTACTCCATTATATATATATATTTATCCATTCATTGGTTGATGGGCATTTGGGTTGTTTACAAGATACAGCTATTACAAATTGTACTTCTGTAAACATGGGTGCACATATATCGCTGTGCTATGATGTTTTTAATTTTTTTAGGAAGATACCTAAAAGGGAAATAGCTGAAAATGAGGCCTGCAATCCTAGTTTTTTGAGCAGTCTCTACACTGATTTCCACAGTGGTTGTACCACTCTACACACTCTCACCAACAGTAAAGCAGTCAAAAATCAATAGCATTCCTATACACAAGCAACACACGGAAAGGGAAGTTAGGGAAACCTTAACAATAACACTCAAAAAAATGAAATACTTAGGAATCAGTCTAACAAAAGAAGTAAAAGATGTATATATTGAAAACTTTAGTGTGCCAAAAAAAAAAGATTGAAAAGGATATCAGAAAATGGAAAAATATGCCTTGCACATGTATAATAAAACAACGCAGTGAAAATGGCCCTACTCCCAAAACTGCTCCACAGATGTAATGCAGTCCCAATCCAAATACCATTAGCATATTTCACAGAACTAGAGAAAACATTCCTGAAATTCATTTGAAAGCAGAAGAGACCTAGAATAGCAAAAACAATTCTGAGCAACAAAGGCAAGTCAGGGGCATCACAATCCCTGAGCTGAAATTATACTACTCAGCTAAAATCAACATGGTATTAGCTAAAAACAAAAACAAACAAAACAGATCTGATTATCAGTGGAACAGAATAGAAGATGCAGAGGCAACCCCAAACATACTTAGCCACCTTATCTTCCACAAAGGAGCCAAACATGTCCACTGGAAGAACAATAGACTCTTCAATAAATGGTACTGGAAAAACTTGCTCTCTGCATGCCAAAGACTAAAACTAGATGCATGTCTATCACCACACACTAACCTAAAGTCATAACAGATCAAAGATCTAAATATTAAAACAGAAACGCTAAATCTACTGGAAAAGAAAGCAGGTAAAAATCTTGAAGACATAGGTGCAGGCAGAGAGTTCATAAGCAAAACCCAGGCTGCAGGGGGAAGTACTTCAAAGAATCAACAACTAGGATCTACCTTTGTAAGAAGCTTTTACACAACAAAAGAAACCACCACCAGAGTGAAAAGATAACCCACAAGAGTGGGGAAAATTAGCCAGTTGTCCCTCAGACAAAGGACTTCTGTCTAGAACAAATAAGAACTGAAAAAATGCAGGTCGTCCAAATTCAAAGACCCCACCCAAAAATGGGCATCTGAGATGAATATATACCTCTCAGATAAAGAAATACAAACAGAAAAAAAAAAAAAACATGAAAAAACATTCAACACCATTGGTCACTTGAGAAATGCAATTTGAGTTTCTATCTCACTGTAGAAGGAATGACTATCATCAAGAAATGAACCAATAATAAATGCTGGAGGGGGTGTGGGGGAAAGAAAGAGTGTCTCTAAAAAAGCTAGAGGTTGACCAGGGTGCTGTCCTTAATAGGTTGGTTGGGAAAGGCCTCTGAGATGTGGTTTAGGGGGAAATATGACTGTGACGTGGATGTGAGCCTTGTGTTGAGGGAGAATGCAGCCCAGATAGAAGGTGAGGTGCAGAGATGCTAATGTTTGCTAATGCAGGCGCAGCGAGGAGGCTGTGCTGAAGGAGACAGTGGACCAGTGATGGACAGGGGAATGAGTGACTGTAATCCATGGTGAGGCGTTTGTGATCGGTTAACTTTTCATTTTATCACTATCTATTTGGTGTTAGAAACTTACTGTAATTTATATGTGTTCATCTTTCCAGCATTTAACTCATGGTTTGTGTTTTAGTCTGAGATTTATGGAAAGCCATTGGAGATTTAAGCAGGGTAGTGATAGTGTCTGTGTTTATAAAAGATCTCTATCATTGCTCTATGATAACGTGACTGTAAATAGACAACCATGGAAAAAGAGAACCAGTGTTAAGAATTACAGTAATCCTGGGTGTGGGACCGCATACCTGTGGGTCCAGCATTCTGGAGGCTGAGGCAGGAAGATCTTTGGAAGTTCAAGACCAGCCTGGGCTACAAAGTGAGTTCAAGACCAGCCTGAATTGCATAGTGAGGCTCTGTCTCAAAAAAAAAGCATTGGGGTAATCTGTGAGCTGAGTATAGTAGCTTGGACTGAGTAGTAGCCGTGGCTGCAGTGACAGGCAGTTAAAAAATAGGTTGGTTTTGAAGGTTGAACCAATAGCACTTACGAAATAGGTGGCAAAAATGACTCTTACTATTTGGGCTCAGCTTTTGGGGTAGTACAAATTGCCATTTATGTTTTGACCATGTGTGAAGTGTGTGAGTGTCCAAGCACCTATGTCTATTTGGCACTTAAATACGAAAGTCTTCAACTCAAGAGAAAGTTTACATATAAAGATACAAATTTGAGATGCATCAACTTATATGTGGTATTTAAAGACATGGAGATAGCGGGAATAGATGCTGAAAGGAGACTGAGTCATCCAGTTCTCTGAAACTTAGAGTTTGGGAAAGAGAGAAAAAGCCAGGAAAGGAGACTGAGCAGGTGCTGCATGCGTAATAGAAAAACAACAAAAGAATGTGCTGTTCTGGAAGATGACCAAGACAAAAATATTTCATGGAGAATGGCTGCTTGTCCACGTGCTCCCAAAAGGTCAAGTGAGATGCAGACAGATCCATGCCCGATGGGCCAAGATAGAGGTGCACGCGGCCCTGGTGGGAGGTGTCCGAGGAGTGGTGCCGATAACCAGATTCAAAAGAGTTTGAATTGAAGCTGTAGAGACTGTGAGGATAGACAGTTGCTTCAGGAAGTTTTTAAAAGATTAAGATCATGGAATAGTATTTGGAGGGGAATAATGTGGAACCCATGAGATACGGAGGGTTTTTTTTAAGCTTTTTTTTTTATTAGACTGCGCTCCATGAGGTGAGTAGTGTTTGTCTGTTTAGTGTATCAGTGCATCATAAGCTCTCAGAACAATGCCCTGCATGTAGTAGGTGTTCAACAAGAACTTACTGGCCTCATCTGAATTGATAGGCTGGGGGGAATGGATGTGGGAAAGCAGCATAATTTTAAGAGCAGAGAACTCAAATAGGAGAAAGGAAACGGTATGCAGTACATAAAAGTGTTGCCCATTGCCGTAATTTGATCGTAGAAAGATTACATACTCATAACTGCATACAAATATATGGGTCAGTAAAATAAATTTTTTAAAGAAATAAATTGGTTTTAGGAGTCAGGGAGAGATTACTGAGGACAGGGATGAAGGCACTTTGGAGATGTGGTGGGACAAGGACAGCTCCCAGTATCTCTGTTTTTGTGTACGTGTAATAGAAAGCAAGGTCATTTATATCAAAAAGTTACCCTCTTTTCTTTCATTGTCCTGAATGCATCCAGTCTCATCAGAAAACAATCAGAAATTAACAAAGTATATTCCCTTTAAAAGAGAATAAAATAAAATTATATTTGCCATCTCATCTAGCAATTGATCATAGTGATGATAGTAAACTTACTAAACATCATTGATTTGTAATTTAAAATGGGTAAATTTTTGGCGTCTAAGTTCTAACTCAATAAAACTGTTAAAGTAATTTTTAAAAGAGAAAACTAAGAAAAGTAGATAGATAGATACACAGCCCACTACAATTGAGAAAGCTGCATTTTACTGGGCATTTCTAACTTTCACCAGACACTTGTATACTATTCTTTAGAGCAGAGTTTTTATAAGATATAACACCGTGTAATGAAAGGAGCCTGAGCTTTCAGCTCAGAAAGGCCCAGTTTGAAATTTGAGCTCCGCATTTTACTAATTATACACCTGTACGCAAGTTTCTTCATCCCACAAGCTACTCAGGGGTAGGTGATAGTGTTTCCTGTCTCACTGAGATGTCTTGAGAAAGTACGTAAAGCAACCCCATGATGTGTCTATAAGAGGATCTAGAGAAGTAATACTTTAGTTTTAAAATTCTTTGTACAAAGCACTGACTAATATTAAAAAATTCTAGCAAAATAGAAGAATATTCTCATGTTATCCTAATCAATTTAGATTTTTATGTTTAATTTTTAAAATTTGGCTCCTTGATGAAATTTTACAGTGTTTCCTATAAAAACTAGATTATGACCATGAATATTGGTGAATGTAGTTACTGAATATTTCCTTTTCCATTGATAATCTAAAAATTAATATACACTTATTTTTATATAGTCCAGATTTTAGTACAGTTTTGAACACCTGTTTGAACCGAGGTTTCAGTAGACTTCTGGACAACATGGCTACATTTTTTCGACCTACGGAACAGGACCTGCAACCCAGTAACTCCATGACAAGGTAAGATGGAATGTTAAAATGGCAGCATATCAGTGGATGCTTTTCCTTTTTTATTTTTTTTTAATTAAAAAAATTTTTTAAAAAGAAGATTAAAAGAGGACATAACAACATAATAAAACAGGTCAGAACAGAACAATTTAATCAACATAGTGTTTCACCATAAGATAACCCGACATAACAGTAGCTACCATAGTGTCTCTTTCCTTGAAATATTTGAGTATAACTTCGTATATTATAGCATCAAACACAACATGACAGTGTAAAACCATTCAAGAGAATGAAAGTATTACAGGGTATTTAAAACCAATTAACAGAAAATGAACAATGGTTTCTATATTACCTCCTTGTCTATAAAAAATTTTGTTTATACTATCACATATAATAAAATCCAGTAAAATACAACACGATAAACCGATGGAGACAGAAGAACAAAAGCTTGGTGGGACTTCAAAACCAGATGATATTAAATCAGCACTAGCTATTATATTGTCTTGTTTTCTTCAAAATAACTGTTCATACCATCACAGACAATAAAATCAAACAACCCAGAATAAAATCATTCCAGTTCATGAATGAAAACATTATAAGGCTTCAAAGCAATATAATGGGGAATCATGTTTACCACATACTTTTATGTATTCTTACCATTTCTTACACTAGGGAAACTATTCAGTATTTATACATGTGAGTTTGATTTATTTTGCTTATGAATATGGTCTCAAGCTGTGCCCATTTATTTATAAATATCTCAATGTGATCATTCTTTATAGCTGAGTAGTACTCCATTGTATAAAAATACCACAACTTTTTTATCCATTCCTCAGTTGATGGACACTTAGGTTGTTTCCAAGATCTGGCTATTACAAATTGTGGTGCTATAAACATGGGTGCACATATATCACTGTGGCAGATGCTTTCAGTTCTTCTGGGAATATGCCCAGAAGTGGAATAGCTGGAAGAAATGGGACTTCCAGTCCCAGCTTTTTGAGAACTTTCCAGACTGACCTCCACAATGGTTGCACCAGTCTACACTCCCACCAACAGTGCAAGAGAGTTCCTTTTTCCCCACAGCCTTTCCAGCATTTGTTGTTGGTAGTTTTCTTGATCCTGGTCACTCTTTCAAGAGTGAGATGGAATCTCAATGTTGTTTTAATTTGCATTTCTCTAATGAGTAATGATGATGAACATTTTTTCATGTATTTATTTGCCATTTGTATTTCTTCATCTAAGAAGTGTGTATTCATCTATTTTTTAATCGGATCTTTGAATTTTGGGGGTCTGATTTTTTTTTAATTCTTTATATGTTTTAGACAGAAGTCCTTTGTCTGAGGGACAGTTCACTAAGATTTTTTTTCCCAGTTTGTGGGTTTTCTTTTCACTATATTGGAGATTTCTTCTGACATGCAGAAACTTTTTAATAAGATGTGATCCCAATTATTGACTCTGGGAAGTATTTCCCATGCGGTTTGAGTCTTGTTCATGTATTCTCTACCTACCCCTATGTCTTCAAGGTTTTTACCCAATTTGTCTTCCAATAGATTTAGTGTTTCTGTTTTAATATTCAGATCTTGGATCCATTTAGATTTTAATTTAGTACATGGTGACAGGCATGGGTCTAGTTTTAATTTTCAGCATATGGAGAGCCAGTTTTTCCAACACCATAAGTGGATGCTTTTCTGAAGTGGTGTGTTTTATGTGTTTTAATTTCAAATAAAAAGAAATCCTATACAATAAATTTGAGTTACTCATTTTCCAACAAAATAGATATTTTAAACCAATGATTTCTTTATAAGAAGAATTTCCTTCTGGATGCAATATTAAGATTTCCATTTTTTCCCAAAACCCTTTGCCTTTATATTGGATTTCAAGATGATACTTTTTTATAAACTAAATTCCAACTTTCTTAACTGTTTAGGATATAAAACTGTTAATATACTTAAATTTTAATGTATCCTCTAGTAATATTCTAGCATTACAGGCCATTATTGGCTTATGTTACTTAAATAACATACTTTGTTAAATAACATACTGTGGTCATTATAATAACTAGGCATCTTGGTACAGATTGTCATTTGGCAAGTCATCTCCTAGTAGTTATATATAATTATCTTGTTATAATTACCTCTGGAATTATTTAAGCATATTCCTTTTCTGTCCTTACTATAGTCAGTATCATTGTTAGTGATGTTAATCATAACTATTACTATGTCAGAAACTATCTTACGATTTATTATCTAGTTATCACTATAACATGAGCACCTTCAGTCTCATAATAGAATCTACACTATTTAAGGACTTCTGTTTTATAGAATTTTGTATCACATTCTGAAAATAATGGGTACTAAGCCAGTGTTGACTGACAGGAAACTCCCACATTAACATCTGAGGAAACAAAGGCGTGGTGTTACAGGTCTGAAATCCTAATCCTAGCACTCAGGACGCTGAGGCAGGAATGTCCTGACTTGGAGGCCAGCCTAGACTTCAAAGTGAGACCTTATCCAAAAAAAAAAAAGCTGAGGAAAGTGTAACTGCCATCCAGGGTAACATACAGTTAATTTCCAAATATAAAGGACAAAATACTATTTGCATAGCTCTCTGGGTCCTGTCTGTTATATAGAAAAATAATTTTCCATTAATGCTGGACATTGAGAATACTTACAGCCATAAAGTCAGTTTTCTGAAGCAATGTGAATATGACCATAAGATCTTTTTTTTTAACAATTTTATGTTTCATAAAAATAAATTTCAGCTCAAGACCAAGCCTGTCTTCATTTAAGATCAATACTCCAGTTAATAAAAATGTCCCTGATTTTCACCTGGCTAAGTTTTGGTTCGTAAATGGGGGAACAATTTGGAGTAGTTTAACATGAACAAATTTGTGATCTTATACATGGAGGAAGTAAAAGCTATCAGCCGTATCAGCCCGTGATAGTCTGCCTTTTCTGAACTCCTGTAGTAGGTACTCTCTCCATTTTCATGTACAGGCTCATGTGCTACTTTGAATTGAAGTTTTATTCCTCAGTTTCATTTTGAGCCTTCTTTCAAAGTCATTGTGCCTGCTGTCATCACTAATATTTAATGGAAGTTCTAGCCAGAAAAGGAAGAAAGCTTTTCAACTGTGTTTGGTGGCACATGCCTTTAATCCAGCACTCAGAAGGCTGGAGCAGGGGAATTGCTGTAAGTTCAAGACCTCACTTCAAAAAAAAATAAAATAAAATAGTAAAAATTAAAAAAGAAATAATATTTGCAGTTGCTTATGATAAATATCATCACTTATGTACATTATTAATCCAGACTGAAGAGAATTAAATGAAAATGATACAAACTAATAAAAGATGTATATTCTGTACACATATGCTATCTATATTGTATAAGAATTTATGCATATATATTATATTACTGTATGTATAATATTTTAAAAAACAAAGTATCCTATCAAAGTAAAAACCCACTACAAAACATGAACTTGGATCTAAAATGAAAACTGCATAGACTAAATATGAATATAGATGTAAGAACCCTAAATAGCATGCTTGCCTGATGCAAGGCTCTAGGTTTGATCACCAGGAGGGAGAGTGAGAGAGAGGGAAAAGAAGAGAGAGAAAGAATATGAATTAGAATCCTAAGGGAATTCAGAAATAGAAGCCATTTTTTTCTGTCTAGTGTAATAATAGGTGTCTGATAGAATTTTAAAGTATTCTTAGGAAATAAATGCTAATATTTTTCTCATTTTCCAAGTGTGGACACAATAGCACAGAAAAACAACTTTCGGTTAAAAGCTAAGGAGTATTAAAGCCGGGTATTCTGTAACTCCTGTCTAATATCAGAGCCCAGAATTTTTCATTATTTTGCAATACTGTAGCATTAATGAATTAACAGGACAAAAGCTTCTTCAGTATTACTGAGGCATTCAACAAAACATTTATTATTGATAAAACAGCTTCCAATAAATAAAAAGCATTTATGTAATAAAATAATACTTGCAATTTAAAACAAACATACTTTAAAATACCAAAGTAATTTCCATTAAATTCAGAAACCATACAGATATTCATTATTAATACATTTATTCAGCATCATTCTTTTATTGTAAATGATGCAGTAAAGCTAGAAAAAGACCAATTCTGAAGACCAAATCTAAGAAATAGACTTTTTTTTATATTTATCTTGAAAACAGTCAACTTTCTAAGTTTCCTTACAGTTCTAATAAACTGTGAATTTGCCTATGATTTTTCTAACTTCTTATTTTTAAAAATAATACTAGTTTTTGAAAGGGAGAGAATAAAACTCGTTATATTAAGGTGACATGATTTTATACTTAAAAATCCAAATCAACTAAAACATATAAAATTAGGCTCCTAACATGAATCTGTAATTATAAGTACTGTTAATACCACTCTGAGGATTAGAGGATAGTTCACTTGTTAATTTTAAAATCTGACAAAGGAAAATAAAGTTTTCTGCCCAAATCACAGGCAGAGAATATGCAAGAAATTATTTTAAAAGATAAGCAATGAATGTGATTTTCCTATAAAATGTTTAAGATGCTAATTATCAAAACAGTATGTTACTTGTAAAAATGCTGAATTAATGGAATACCATGTAAATTCCAGAAACAAGCCCTGGAATTTACATGGTATTCCATTTACACATGGAATTTACACACCAAAAAAAGGAAAAAAAAACTTAATACAAAGTTTAAATGCAGAAACAATGCACAGCTCGAGGGAGCTGATGATAAATACTGCCATATGCAGAGGACAGATCACCATACAATCGTTAAAACAAGTCAGCTAGGGATGGTTGACCTCTGAGGCACGAGGATCACAAATTGGAGTGTAGCCTGAACAGCATAACAACTTAGGGAGCTCTGTCTAAAAAAGAAAAAACAAAAAACAGACAAAAACTTTAATTCTTTCAAGGAGATGGGAAAGCACTTGTAACGAAAAAAAGCAAAAATAGTATACTTGGGGAAAGTTACAATTTTCTGTTAAAAATAAGTACATAAAAGCATGCATATATAAGAATTACCAGAAGACATTATCCATTAAGTCAAGTGTAGGTGTTATTTCTAGGTGATATAATTGTGTTTAGGTTTTGAAAATACATTTTTGTATATATTCTTCAAAGATTATATATTACTTCTCTAATTAAAATGTTAAATGCTTGTGAGATAATTTCAGGAAATAATTTCTATGATGATTTTTCAGTTATTCCAGTGTCAGCCTGCCATTAGCTAAGATAATTCCAATAATAAATGGGCAGATCCATTCAATTTGCAGTGAAACACCTAGTCATCTTGTTCAGGTAAGAAGAAAGCTTTGATATCGTTGAAATGTATTTGTGGTATTGTTATGTTTCCTAGCATAAAATGACATTCTCTTTTGTCGTGTTTGTTGGAAAGAACCACAAACCTAGAGCCCCGTGTAGCATGTCGATGGAGAGCCCTGAGAAGAGTAATGTTCCCTTCATCTGTAAGGTTGGAGTGCTTTTTGCACGGGACCTGCCAGTGTTGGTCTGCAGTGAGTCCAGATATGTTCTGGGGGCAGCCGAGTTTATATAACATTCAGTTGTACATTAAGCTGTGCTGGGAACATTGAGGCAAATCACTGATCTAGTTTGTCAAAGTTTGGCGAGAACTGAAAAAAATTTATGGGGAAATAAAGCATTTTAGTAATTAATGAACTGTCACTGTTAATAGTACTTCAGTCTGCTAACAGCTACATAAACAATGAGTTACTTAAATTTTTCACTAAACTACCTACCACTCAAATGCAGTAAGTAAAACTGATGTTATTAAAATAATTTTGAATCTACATGATTTTTCCAGTCATTTGTAAATGAGAACTGTATTATAAGTAAAAATGTACACTGTTTCTCAGTTGCAAACTGCTGCAGTAATGTGCAGAACAGAGACCCTGAGGCTTAAGTGTAAAGATGGCAGCTGCTGGTGCCATTTGCCTCAGACATATCGATCGTGTCTTCTGTGTAAGCTTTGTGCTCTCTGGGAGAGACACCAAGGTTAAGGTCTGTGTTTCTCCCTTCCCCTACAGTCATTAGCCTGTCCCTCCATGCGCATTTGCCGTCACTGCCTACTTCAGGCTTCAGGTCTGGAGGCTCACACTGCAGGGGAACAGTGAACAGGGCTGGCCACAGGCATGACTTTGAGCTTCTTGGGCGTGTCAGGGAGAGAAAGGCATGGGGCTTCTGCCACATTCAGCTTGCTTTACCTTGCTGTACATCTACAGAACTCCCTGGTGTAACAAGTATGCTGTTCATATGGACAGAAAGTCAAAGTAAAACAATAGCATCAGGCTTAAATATTAAATAACTTTATTACTGCATTATAATTAAAATCTATGTAATTAACAATAAAATCAAAGAATCTCAATCTAGTAAAAACCCTACTGCTATTAATGTTACATAAAGGTACATTAAAATGTGAACTGGCATTGATTAAATGTATACATTAGGCCCTTGATTGACCTGGCTTTCACCAATTTTTTAAACTGTGATTTCTGTGAGTTAAAATTCCAAATGGTCTACTTAACCCAACAAATTTGTCAGATGCCCTGTTATTTCTATTACCTTTTGTAAAGCCCTGATTAAAATGTTAACTTACATTAAATCAAAACATGTATTTACACTGAAGTTAACTTTTGCGCTATTGCTGCTCCTTCAGTCACAAAGATGTAGATATTGTGTCTAGTGCTTTCAGGATTGTAAAGGCCCAGAGACTGACAGAGCTCTTACCTGAAAGGCTGCGATCACAGTATTTTTAGATTTTGGATTATTTTGTATTTTGGGATATTTGTATGTACAAAATAAAATATTCTAGGGATGACTTTCCAAGTCTAAGCATGAAATTCATGTATGTTTCATCTGCACCTTATACACATAGCCGGAAGATCATTTTATGTACTATTTTTACCACATCTGCACTTTGACTTTGACCTACTACGTGAGGCTAGGTGTAGAATTTTCCATTTGTTGCATCCCATTCATAATCAAAATGTTTCAGACCTAGAGTGTTTCAGATTTGGGGTTTGGGAATTAGGGGTGCGTGCCCTGTGGTAAATATTTTAGGCTTTGCACATCGATACATTCTGTGTGGAAATTGCTGAACTCTGCTTTGGTAGCATGAAAGCATCAAATATACATGAGCATGAATATGGCTGTTTTGATCAAGCTTGATGTACAGAAGTAGGCAGCGGAGGATTTAGCCTGCCAGTCCTACTTTGCTGGCCCTGGGGCTAGAAGATATTAGAGTGATAGTGTAGCTGGGAGAGGTAGGAAATGGGAAAGTCAGAGAACTGTTGAAAGAGCTAATTTTATATTATTTTCAGATTGCTTTCAGATCACAATAGGAGGCAAATTATTTCAGATTACTTGCAGATGGCACAAGGAAAGAGCATTTGTAGTCTAAACCATTTTGGTGGTGCATAATTTTTATCTCAAAACTGAATACATGTTCTGAAGGCCTCAGCAAGATACAGTAAACAAACAAAAAATACAGTAAACAAGTTTAAAGTCCTTGCTGTAGAGCAGGAGCAACTATATGGCTGACGACTGGTAAAACTTTTGTAAGTTTCATTGACAGCAGCAGTACCTGTAGCCATTACACGGCTATGTAGCCGTGTAATGGCTACATACCTTTTGGCTTATATATTAATTTTGGCTGATTTCACATAACGATGTTTCTCAGATTTATTCCTTTTTTTTTGTACCTGGGATCTAACTCATGACTGCGCGCTTGCAAAGCAGGCGTTTAGGTTGCTGAGCTAAATCCCCAGCCCTTAAATTTATTAATATACTTCTAAGTGTAAAAACAATGACAGTCCGCCAGTGTTTAATTATTTTAATAAATAAATATAGAAATGTTTTAAACTCAGAGCGTTTCCATAACTCAAAAACCAAAACTCATTTACACAAAATGGAATCTAAACTATAAAAATACACAAAATAAGTTAAGCACAAAATTTCCTATATCTGGCTATAATATGGCTAGTAGTTATTAATTCATTGTTCCAAGATGCATATGGACTTCTTTGCTATCACCCATATTTTGGGGTGTTCAGCCTGCTTCCACGCCTGACTTGACAGGCACTTTTTAGCTGCCATTAACTGTTCTGAAGCTTTCATTTGTGTCATGTGAGATAATGTGATTTGCTCTTCATTCAAAAGATTTTCTGCTTATGTTTTTTCCTCCTTGCCTTTGTCTTCTCATTATCTCAAAAGACAAATTAAAATAATGGTACTTGGAGCCAACAAGAATATAAACATAAGTACAAACAAATGCTCTAAATCTGGGTAAGTACTAGGTCTTGTATGGATCTCCCAAACGATCCAGTATATGTGTGAGTTTTCTTTTCAGTGTTCCAGAAGTCACAACACAGAATTTTCTCTCCAGTTCTTTGTTCCCTAACGGCATGTCTGAAGACCCTGAATAAGCATTGATCTAAAACTATGTTTGACTGCACAGCCGGAATAAATAATTGAAACTGAATACATAAAATCTCTAATAAGAGAATTTAACCATGGTCTGATTGAACATCAGTTTACTTAAGTCTCACGTGGGTTTTCTGATACTCAAGACAGAACTCAAGGCCAGGATGACTTCCTGTGTCCATGCTCATGGAGACTCTAACCTCTTGTCACGTACCTTTCACCATTTGGTGACTCCTGTAAACCTATTTTCAGATCAGCAAATGCCAGCAAAAAGCACACTTTTTAAAACATTAAATTCTCCTTTACGTATATTTTTAAGGAAATCAGTATCCAGTTTTCAAAACCTTTTAAGATCAAATTTTTGAGATAGTAATCTTGCTTCGTTGTGCATTAAATGTCGAGGTGTAACGGGCTACTAGTGCTACTACTGTGTGAAGTAGAAGTATCTGTGATTACTTTTGAAGACAAATGTATATATTTTGCTCAATACTGTTGTAGTTCATTTCCTATGTTCATATTTGAAGGAAATGCTAGATTTCAACTAGAAGTTAATGAAAATAAAATATTTTTCTTTACATTCACAAATTTTATGGAAGGTAGTTAAGAGCCTTCATTCTAAAGTGTATATGTATAGTTTTGTAATGGGTGTGTATAAAACGTATACATTTATACAAGGCATATGTTAGCTCGCCTAGAAAGTTATATTCCTCAATTTTAGTATTGCGATCATTTACTGAAAAGAAATGTGTCTAATACTGGACACATACAAAAATCTGCATAAATACTGAGGTATTTTCCGAGTCAAACTTGAATACTTACCCTACTCTCTTTTATATAACGACCCAAACAGGCACCCAAGGTGGTGACACACACCTGTAATCCCAGAACTCTGGAGAGCGTGAGGCAGGTCACAGCTCTAGTTCAGCCTGGGAAATTTAGCAACAACTTGTCTCAAAAATAAAATAAAATAAGTAAATAAAGGTCAGTGCAAAGTCCCTGGATTAAACCCCAGTACCACCAAAAAGAAAAAAAAAATATTTTTTTCCTTAATATGGTGTTTTCTTGGCCATATATACCATAAACTTAGAGCCAAATTCACTGCTTGGTTATAGAAACGACTTCAGAATGAATTACTTATGTTTTTTACAAACATTAACCTTATACTGTCATCTTTGCCAGGATCTCTTGATGATGGAGCAAGTGAAAGACTTCGCTGCCAATGTGTACGAAGCATTTAGTACCCCTCAGCAACTGGAGAAGTGATTTTTTTCCTTCGTGAAAACCTACAGTGGAATTCATTTACTTTTAAAAATATATGGAGTAAGTCGACTACACCTACAATTTGTCACCAAAATACCTAATAAAATATATTCTTAATCCAGATCTTCATTTCATAATGAAATAGATTCATTTGGCATTTAATTTTTTTTAGATCATCAACAACACTTTTGCAGACATGACTAAGTATACACGGTACAAATATCAGAATTGTTTATAATTTGTCACACTGTGGATTTTTAATCCAAACCAATATGAAACTACCATAGATATATTTATTTCTACACACAGAGGTGTATGAAATGCAGTGGACTTTGACAGTAATACTGAGGAAAACTGTTTGGGAAATAGGTCTACAATGTGTGAAGTTTGAAAATATGCTGTTTAATCATGAAGTTTCATGGACTGCAGTAATCAGGAGTAAATTGGACTTTTCTCGAGTTACCTTCCAAGGAATAATTATTTGTCTCATCTATACCTTGATGGAGGACTTTTCTTCTTATGAAATTAGTGAACTTTTAACAACCATAATCAGCTGTTCAGCTGTATTTTTCCATTTTCTTTTCTTTTCTTTTTTTTTTTTTCTTTTGCTTCGCTGTGTTTTCTAAGCTCCGTTCACAAGCCTAGGAAGTTACACAGTGATGTATAGGCTTAAACTGCATAGACGCTGTTTTACTGGCAGCTACTGATTACTGTGGTGGTTAGGGTCGAGTTGGACCTGGTGGACCTGGGGGTGCCCCTGGGGATTGGTGGAGCACAGTTCTAGGTTTGTGTGTGCGGGGCTCCGAGCCGGGCCTAGACAGGAAGGAAGAAATCTCTGCCCTGCCCTTGGGCTCTGTGCTCTCTCCTGGCTTCCCAGGGGCCAGGGACTCGGAAGCTCTGTTCTGCTTCACTTCTTGCCTTTAAGTTGTGGCGCTGGGTATTATAGCCCAGAAAAGAGGAAGCTGACGAATACAATTACATAGTTTTATCCACTTGTATGTAAATAATTTTAATAACTTACTTTGTATTAATTTTGAGTACAATCAATGCGTATTGCAATAAACTATTTTAATACAACTTGATTTTGTGGAATGATTACTTTTAAGCCCTTAATTTATGTGTTCCATACAGCTCATGCCGTTATTTTAGAAGAGAGGTCAAGCAAGTTTTAAGGTTCATTTTAACTGGTGATACAGTTAGTACTTTCTTTTATTTAAAAGTAAATAGCACTGCTTTCCGAAAAAGAAGTGAGTCGCTATGTCTAGGAAATCAGCGGTTTGTACTTAGAGGAGAAATTAGGACAGAAGTAAATGAATCCCTATCATTTATGTATTAGATACATTTTCAGTAATAGATTTTGCTTAACATCATTTTTGTCCTTCAGCATAAGCAGATATCTAAATAGTAAAGTGTGGAAATGAATTGTGAAATTTCTGCTAAGGCCTGGTTGGACCCAGAGAGACCTACTAAAGTCACTGTCTAGAATGTTAAAAAGCAGGTGTCAGGGTAAAGACAAGGGCAAATGCCCCTTTTTAAAATCTGACAGTGGAATGACACTATCATTTCTATTAAGGGTAAAGGAAAAAATTGCATTTGGAAAAATTAGTGAATAGGGCATGCGTGTGTTCCAACAATATTTACTCAGGATTTCATCCAGGAAATTTTTGAAATTGAATAGCTATGGCCTTATAAGGAGAAAAGTTGATTAGCTGAAAACTGTCTCCTGGAATCATTGCAGTCTTTAGAGCTGTGGCAGGGAGACAGCCGGATACAACCATGTGTGTCTTACGTTACGCTGTATGTATTGGGCAATAGGCATTACCAGTTTGCCTTCTAGTTGTATGGGAGCCCTCTTGTCCGAGATGCTTAATTTAATCTGAGTAATTTGTGTGTGTGTGTGTGTGTGTGTGTGTGTGTGTGTGTGTACGAGTACACACACAGTTTAAAGAATAAATGTTTAACCTAAAATGTAAATATTTTTTAGTTGCCAGCGATTTCCCATTCCACCAGGGCTTTTTCTAACTTTTTTTCAGAATGTGTCCACTAAGCTGGGTCATTAGTGGCCTAGTACTCAGCATAGCTGCTGTCCCCTGTAGTCTGCTGATAGCTGTTTTATAAATGTCTTTCTTGTGCAAATAACATGTACTTCATTTCATTTCATTTCATTTCATGGGAGTGAACCAGAATTTCAGAATTCTTGTAGATTTGTACTATTTATCCCATCTTTTAGTACTCTTTTGCTCCCAATTAATAACTTAATTTTCCCCAGCATTTAAAGGTGTGTTAGCTTTCCGTTGCTGTGACAAGATAACCTGAGAAAAACAGTTTAAGGAGGAAAAGATTTACTGTGGTGCAGCTTCAGAGATTTCAATCCATGGTCAGCCGGCTCCATTGTTTCTGGGCCCAGGGTGAGGCAGAAACATGATGGAGGATGCAGTAAAGCTGCTTACTTCATGGCAGCCAGGAGGCAAAGAGAAAAGGCCGGGAAGGAAGGAGCCAGCAACAGTCCCTGGGGCTCATCCCATGAGCCACTGCTTTCAACTGAACACCGCCTCCTACATTTCATCACCTCCCACCAATGCCATTGAATTATGAACCACCAATGGATTAGTCTGCCAATGAAGGTAGATCCAACCACCTTCCAAAAACCCTTTCGCTGGTAATCAGCATCCCAGCATAGTGCAGCCTTTGGGAAACATTCCCAAGCCAAACCACAACAAAATGCAACCAGCTTTGATCTGGGTTCCAAAGTATTGTTTGATTTTCATAAAAACTGCAGTTCTTCATGCATGACATCAGTTTATGTAATCATGGTTATTAAATGTTCAAGTGCCGTTGTCAGTTCGGTTCAGCGCAGTGGCTTAGAACAACTGAAATTTATTCTCTTACCGTTCTGAGGACTAGAAATTAAAAATCAAGGTATCAGTAGGGAAACGTGCCCTGAGGGCTCCTTGGAGTCCTCTTAACTCTTCTAGCACCTGGTGGCCCCAAGTATTCCTTGGCTTACAGCAGCTGCATCCTAGTTTGCCTCATCTTTATGTGGCCTGTGTCTCTATCTCCTTTTCTGAAATCTCTGTCCAGCTATTCTCATTGATCTGTGTGAGAGCAGAACCAGAGGGTGCACCTGTGTTGCCACTTCCCCCAAGCATCAGTAAACACACCTCAGGGAGGAAATGACAGCCTGCTTAATCCAAGAGCTGGTCACCTGGGTACTGCTCAAAACTCTACTTTTTCTGTCATATAAATGTGTTATACCTGTGTAGAAGTTTGATACTAGCATTTATTTTGTTTGGAAATTTGGGGGGAAGAGTCTTCCCTGTCTTTTAATTAACAAAAATGAAATGAAAATTTTTCATAATTCATATTTATTGGAATAGCCTGAACCTTTAGAGCAACTACAATATCTGCAGTATGGGGCTCATAAGAAAATGAGTTAAAATCATATTAAAGTTATATCCATATAAAAATGGTAAAATAAACATCAACGTCTGAATTTCAATTATTCATTCTTAATAATCTTAGGGTGGTTTACCTTCAAACGTTTAAGCAAATATTTAAGTAAATCAGAAGTTATTAAAATTCTAAGAGCAATTTTTCACCTATTAGTAACTCTAGGGAAAGGATTCACTAGAAGATGAAAAACTATTGGTTTAATTAGATAACAAAGCCAGTGAAGTAGTATACTCTTATAATCCCACCCCTCAGGGAGACTGAGGCAGGAGAATGACAAATTTGAGTCCCAATTAGGCAACTTAATGAGATTCTGTCTCAAAATTTTAAAAAGGGCAGGGGATGTATCTCAGTATGAAAACTGAGTGCTAAAATAAAACCCAGTGCTAAAATAAAAAGGTATCTAATTGTCCTTACACTTCTTCTCCATATCACATGATTTTAAGCATTCTTGTTATATTTATAGACCTAGTTATAGTATATTTTGTGTGTAAGCAAGCTATACTTTAATTTAAATGAATGTCTTATTTTTATGTCCAGTTAAAGCCAAAGGTCAGCGCCCCTGAGGGCTGGCGTGTGTGTGGTCACGGAGCTCCCTCCCAGCTGCGCAGCAACTAACGCCTCCTCTAACCCTGCTCTGCTCAGCTGTTTCCCTTTGCTCCCTTCATTTGCAGTTTTAAGAGGTGAAGTTGGGCATGACAGCGACTTAAGCAAATGACAAAGGTTTTTTTTTTTAAATGACAAAGTTTTAGTCTCAAAATTATTTTCTTTGAAACAACAAATGATTACAATTTAAAAAAAAAAAGCTCTGATGACCTTTTGTGTTAAAGTTAGTACACATTTGCAGTACGCAATGATCACAGTCCTCTTGGGGAGTTGGTTGTATAATTCCCCTCTTTTCAGCCCTCCCCTGCCCTCCCACCAATGGGTGGTCCCCTTCCCTCCTACAGAAGATCTAGTTTCCCATTTCCTATTTTTCACTTGTTCATTCGATACCATGAAAATCTCCAATAAAATATTAACTGGTAGAGCTGTTGAAGTATTTAGTCAAATACTGTGTCAAGATCTGAAATATTCAGTGGTGGCAGTGAGTACAGTCACATGTGTCTGTAACCCCAACTATTTAGTGAGAAACTGTCTCAAAAATATTTTTAAATTTTGACAGTTGCAAGAACTTCAATATGAATAATTTTTTTAAAGTTTCCCATCTGAACACAATTTTAGGGTAAAATAATCATGTTTAGTTTCACTAATTTTTTTAAACAGACAGCTGCATTAATTAATGTGACAAACCCGTAACACTGCAAGTAAAGAAACAACCATGTTACGATCTTATGTTGAGAGGAATGAGTTTTTAAGTTGGTTCTTCCTTACTTATATCAAAATCAACACTATCTGTGGTTCATTCTAGGAATTCCAAATAGATTTCCTAATTTTCAACTAAGTTTTCAACTTCCTTATGAACCTCAAATTAGCCCATCTTCAAAAAAAAAGTTTTATCTCCACCCCACCCCACCCCCAAAACTCATGACCTTCAGCTTGCCAGGCAGGCGCTTTGCTGCTGAGCTATATCCCTGGCTAAAAACCCTAATTTTAAATTGTGATCTCAGCAGTGATTTTAACTTTGCGTATATCCTATAGTAAACATATATTAATTTTAGAAATAAGAGGAAAGGACAATGATTTTTATAAAAGGCAATCACTAGTTACATTAGACATGTAAATAAACCAAAGTTTATTATATATCACCTAAATTGTAAACCAGAGCTGCCATAACAAAACCTGAGCCTGAATAACTCAACTGACGGAAATCTGTTTCCACACTGTCCTGGGTGCTGGAAGTCTCAGACCAAGATGTCAGCAGATTTGGATTCTTCTGGCACCTCTCTCCTTGGCCTGGCCCATGGTCAGCTTGTTGATACTTCTTTTTCCAGGGCTTCCCTTGTGTATGTCTACCTCCACTATCTCTTTTCTTGATCCTTACCTGTTCTACTGGATTACAGCCTCATCCTTCTGACCCCATGTAACCTTAATTACCTCTTTAAACCTCTTTCCAAATATACTCACATTGGGGGTTAGGTCTTCAACCTAAGAACCTAGCGTGTGGGGGGCAGATTTCAATTAACAGCACAACCGTTCCTAGCCAGGATAAATCAAAGTATTTCCACCTCCGACATACACATGGAAAAAAAATCAGTGTGAAGAAACTTCAGTGGCAAAGTACACTGAAAAATGTAAATGGTAACATAAACTGGGAACATTAATAGGAAAGAATTTTCCCAAGTAATCACTTGATTCTTTTATTGATCAGTTTACATTCACTTGTAATTCTCCTTGCAGTACAGTTCTAGAAACCTGACATTTCCAAGTTTAAAGGTAACTGCAGCACGGCCTCCGGCTGCACATCAGATCATGTTCGTTAGTTTGAGGGCCCAGCCCCATCTGCTGGGCAGCTGATGAATGCTTAGCTGTGGCAACTGCACCGTCACGCCACTTGGCTTCAATGAAGTCCAGGAGAGTGGCGCTCCATGTCCCAGGAGTTTTACCTGAAAGTAGAAACATAAATGCAAATGTCTCCGGATGAACTGCTTTCTCAAAAAAAGAAAGGCACTGTACATAAAAGAGTCCTTCCTTTATGCTTAGTGAGTCACAGGGTGTTTTAATTCTTGATCCCACTGAGGGAATACATTTATCTTGGCCCTCTGTCACTCTCCAGAGGGAAATAAATGTGTGGATTCTGGGGAAGAACTACAAAGGTAGAAAGCAGTTAGAAAATGCTGAAGAAAGGACCAGGGACAGAGAATTAACTGGAATCATGGATTCTTCAAGAGTGTATTGTTTAATTTCTATGTGTTTGTATAATGTCTGTGGTTTCTTTTGCTACTGATTTCTGGTTTCTTTGCACTATGATCTGCTCATATTCTGTATATGAGAACCGATGTGCCTACTTATGACACCAAATGTTTGGAGGAGGCTCCCTGCTCTTAGCCACTGTTCCTCTCCACATTTTCCAGTAACTTTCACTGATCATACAACAGTTTAATCAATTGTTGCTGTGCTTTATACCCTCGGTTTTTACTATACCAAAATGAATTCAAATAAGTGGTTATCTGTGTATTTTAGGATTATTCTGAAACATAAAACTTTGTGTATCACATGGATCAATTAAAAACCCATGAACTTTTATGATATCAATTTGTGCTAAAGAGAACACAGATAAAATTAAAAGATAACCAGTGTCATATCCAGGCTTCAAAACAGAAATTAAATATTATAAAGAAAACTTTTCTTAGGAGAAGTTTCAAAAAGTTCTGGCCAAATATTTACATTGATGAAAATCACTTTAAAGTTACACTTAGATATAAAAACACATATAAGGTTCCCCTTGAAACTAAAGCAAATTATATTCTCATTCCATTATTTTAGACAGAATTTAAAGGAGCAGTGAAGATAAAAATTCCCTCCTACCTCTGTACGCCCTGGAAGAGCATCCGGCTGGGCAAGAACCAGCTGTCCTGAAATGGGCCATTTAAAGAAAATGGCATAGACTAAGTTTTCCTTCGGCTTAGATGTATACCTGATGAAAAGGAAAAATGAAGAGCATAGAAACAAATTATTACAGCCCATCCTTATTAATGGGTCAGATCTGGAAATATTTTCAGGGCTACTTCCATGTGGCAAGTATTTACCAATGTCTCCCATAATAAAAGAAGGAAAAACAGCCCACGATGGTATAAAAAGCACCTCTCTTTTCTACTCCACTACTAAAATGAAATTCGTGAGAGGGAATGGTTTTCTTAAGCCAAGATTCCTCTTCAGACTGCACTCAGGGACCCAACAGAGGAAGACAGGGTGCAGGAGTTCAGGGTGTACGCAATAGACTCAGTATAATGCTGGGCCAAGGATCCAACCTGGACGAGGAAGAAGAGAAGGGCGGAGGGCTGAGGGGCAGGATTGAAGTTTTAAAGGACAGAATTAAAGGCAGTCTGATCACGACAGGGTAGCTCCCCTCGGAAGCCAAAGGGCCACACGAAGTAAGCCAGAATGTAAGAGGTGCTGGGCAGAAGAGTGCTTCAACCCTAAACCACGGAGGCCGCAGCTGCTGCTACTGCTGCTGCAAGATCTAAAGCGAGACCAAAGGAAGGGGCAGCAAAGGTAGAATGGCCAGCGCCCCAGCGCACAGACAGGCAGCAAGTCGGACCGCTGGACTGCTGGGAACACCACTGAGAAGTAGCTCAAGATTTGTTCTGGGAGCAGGAGCAGGGAGCCAGGCTAAGCTCCAGAAGGATTTTAAAGTTTGAGCTAGGAGAGTGCAGATGACCACAAGCAGAGGGCCGAAGTGGTGGCAGAAGTGAGCTCCCAGGGAGGAGGATGCCAGGGCCACTTGGGCAAGGAAGGGGGCAGGAGCACAGCACTCAGCTTTATAAGCCTCATGACACATTTTGGCTTTACTTATATACTTAAGTGCCCCTAAGTATACCCCTTACATAGCCAGAGCCCCGCTACGTAGTTCAAACCTACCTTGAACTCCCTATGTAGACCACAATGATCTTCCTGCCTCAGCCTCCCATATGTTGGGATTACAGGTGTTTGCCACCACCCCCAATTTTGGCTCCTGTCTTGAGGGACTGATTTCTTGAGGGACTGATGGTTAATGATCATGACCTCCCAGACCAGAAACTCTTACAGTCAATTTCAATCACAGAAACAAATTCCAAAATAGAACTGAATCTATCTGTAACATAAGGGTTTAGTACTGAGTCTTCACTGTGGCTTCTCCCAAACCCAAGATTTTAAAACTATACAACTACTTGCTTCTGTCTAAATTTGCTTTTTTTTTTTTTTTCTTTAGTGAGCTGGCAACATGCGTAAGTTTTAAGTTAGGTAACACTGTGCACAGCATTTTGTCTAACTTACTGCTATTTTTTGTGTGTGTGGTGGAGTCTGGCTTTGTAGTTCAGGCTGGCCTTGAACTCATGATGATCCTGCTGCCTCCGCCTCCTGAGTGCTGAGATTAAAGGCGTGCCACTTAATTTTCTAATCCTCAATCAGGCAGCACTGAGTACCTTCACTAAGGCTGCTCTCATATATATCCAGAAGCTGCATCAAAGCCAGGTCTATTTGTTCAGACCATTGAAGGCAGATGTCTTGTGCTCTGGGTGAACGATTTGGGGATGGCAATGTGCAATGTATGTACCATTGTTGCTCCCTGATTGATGTGTTTTGAAATTTTTAGATTTTTTTCTTCTTTTTTTCTTTTTCTCCTTGAAATAAAATGGATTTGGAAAAAAAAATAAACTAAAAAAATGAATTCAAGGTCCAGAAAAAATTTTTTTAAAAAACAAAGCCAGCACGCACAGACTGGCTCAGATACTGACACACACAGCCCTCCCCCAAGCTCAGAGAAACCTGAGATAAACTCTTCAAGAAGGTATTAGGTGAAAAATATAAGGCAGTTCAGATCATTTTAAAGAGATTTCAGACGAGTATAAACAAGCAGCAAGTTTTTAAATCACTTGAAATAATGCTGTTCTTTTGTGCTGACTTTTTCTGTTTTTTTTTTTTATTGTAGTGCATAATAAAATTTACCACCTTGAACATGTTTAAGTATGCAGTTTGGTGGTAGTAAACACAGGAGGAATTTATGTGGCCATCACCACCTCCTGTCTCTGTAATTCTCTATTCTAGGTCCCTCATATAAATGGGCTCATATACCATTCGTCTTTTTGTGACTAGGTTATTCCAATTCACACAATGTCCTGAAAGCTGCTATATGTTGTAGCATGTTTGAGAATTTCCTCCTTTTTCAAGACTGAGTATGTACACGCGAGGGCCTTCATTCCTACTGCCTTTTGCTTATCCACTCATCTGTAAATGGCTCTTGTGTTGCTTCCACATTTCAGCTACCGTGAATATAATTCTGCTATGAACACAGTGGAATTGCTGCATCACAGAGTGATTCTATTTTGAGTTTTGGGGGGAACTGCCATACTATTTCCCGTAGCCACTCTACCACTTTGCACCAACTGTACACACACCCTGACTGACATTTCATTTCTTCCCTAACCCTAACCCTAAGTGGTATCTTGTATTTTTGTTTGTTTGTTGTTTAGTGAGGTTTTATATTTATTAAAGGTAGGAAAAGAAGTACAATCTGCAGAGTATGGGCCACTGAGAAAGAAAACACAGTGGCCAGTTTGTTTTGGTGGTGGTGGTGGTGGAGACAGGGTCTCACTGTGTACCCCAGTCTGGCCTCAAATTTGCTCTCCTACCTCAGTCTCCTGAATGCTGGGTTATAGGTGAGAGCCACAAACCAGCTCACTGCAGTTTTTATTCTCATTTTCCTAATGAAGCATGATGTTCCGTATCTTTTCTCTTACCTGCTGGACATCTAACACCAACATAATTGTCTAGGTAGGGGGACAGATACCTAGTGCTTCTTACCTCTGCCATGTTCCTGGAATATTCTTTCTTTTCTTTCTTTCCTTCCTTCCTTCCTTTCGTACCAGGATCAAACTCATGACCGCATGCTTGCCAGGCAGGCACTTGTGCCGCTGAGCTAAATCCCTGGCCCTAATCGTCTCTATTTTAGCTGATTTTAAACTCCTGTTTTCTCTGCCCTCAGACACCTCATTTGCTAATATGATGGGATATGACCTTTGCAAAAGTTAGAATTTACTGAACAAACTAAATAGTAGTCTGATAAAATGTGTCGGCCAGTAGGACATATCTAGAGATGACGCAAGCAGAATGGGACAAACATTAAATACTCAAAAACATGCTAATTCTTCCCTTTCCTTCTCTTGAGTAAAGCTGGAAAATGTGTTGGATAAGCAGATTCATCCAAATTCTTTTTTATTCAGATCTTTTCATCTCTGAGAAATTTTAAATGCTTTCCTCTACCAAGTAGTGGTCAATGACCAGAAAGACTTACCACATATTTGGGGTGAAAGTGTCATTCTGGAATCGCCAAGGGTGGGTTCCATAAATGGCTTCCCCATTCACTTTTAACCAGGCCCCCATTTGTCTTAACCGCTCCTCAAAGACTGCAGAAATGGTGCCATCTAGCGTGGGCCCAATATTCATCAGAAGATTTCCTCCATAGGCAACCGTTTCCACAAGTTGCTGACAATGTAAGAATGAGTACAGTTCTTAAGTAGATTTTTTTAAAAAATTCCATTTTCCATGAGTTCATACATGCCCTGTGTTAGTGGGCCACTGAGCTGCCCCAATTATAAGAAATATCCCCCACTCCTCACTAAGAAGATGACAGTAACGGTCTCTAGCTACACATCTTACTGTACCTTCACCAGTTCTTCAATCGTAAGATAATCAGTGATTCCTGCGTCCCTCCTGTAGCCCCAGGAAAACTTGTCTATTGTCATGCAGTTTTCCCACTTATGTAACAGCAGGTGCCCCGGGCGGAAGCGATCAGCACAGGTGTAGTAGCCGCCGTGTTTACAGATGCAGCCGTCTCCCCAGCGATCGTTGGTGACCACCGTGTCCCGAACGGGGCTGAAATGAAAAGTGTAATCTTATTAAAGTTTCTTTTTTTAACACACACACACAACAATGGTATCACTGAAAAGAGGGCCGCCTGTACCCACTCCTGAAAAAGGATCATGGCGTAATATACACAGTGGGAAGCCCATGGATCCGAATCAAACAGACCTGGGCTGACTGCAGTCCTAGCTGTGCCACTTTCTAGCTCTCAGACCTATGGCAAGTTACCAAGCTTATGTGAGTAATGAATTTTCTCATTATTATTTGAATAAACGTAATTAATATAAAACAGCCCAATGCAACCAGCACGAATAGCACTCACGAGTTTCCTCCCATACAGTGCATGGTATTTATACTCAAGATATTTTCTTGTCCAAGAACTGTACAATCTCATAAATGTATTCTAGCCTTTCTTTCTCTCTTATAACTGTGGCGAGTATTTAAGAATCTCAGAAAAACAGTGTTGGACTGGGGATTTAGCTCAGCGGCATAAGCGCCTGCCTTGCAAGCAGGCAGTCATGAGTTCGATCCCTGGTACCAATAAAGGGAAAAATAAAAACAAAAACTGAGTGTTGACCTCAAGTGAAATGTTCTCACATTTTCTTACCTTTTCCCTTGGGAGGAGTTCCTCAAGACCCTGCCATTACTGGTACCCAGAGTTCTCTGCAGGGCTGGGGATGGAACTCGGTGGTTGAGTGCTTACCTAGCACGCACAAGATCCTGGGTTCAATCCCCAGTACTGTAGCCCCCAAAAGCTGAGTGTGGTGTCTGTAATCCCAGCTACTCAGAAGAAAAGAGTTCTCCAAAATATTTGTATCTGTGCCTTTTGTGGACCCTGGGAGCCACCTGACTTCATAACACAATACCAAATGCTTTCTACTTTACATGTAAATATGGGTCACATCCTTCAAGCCGAAGGGAGAAGCTCAACCAGCGCTGCCTGGTCTCACACTCGTGAGCATGGGAGGAAGCGACAGGGAAGAACAGGAAGAGGCAAGGATGAAGGAAAAGAGGACACAGGCAGAGTGGCAACTGGGGAAAGTTAACAGGATAAAAAGGAGCAGAGCCAGTGTGGTGGCACACGCCTGCAGTCCTGGCATCAGGCTGAGGCCGGAGGATTACAGCACACTAAGGCCAGCCTGGACTACACAGGGAGACCCTGTCTCCAAACGACAACAGAAAGGAGTAAGAATTGAAGAGCACATAATGAAAGTCATGAAGTATGGGCAGGAGTAGAAGATGGAAAAAGGGACCCACAAAATGAGTCCTGGACTTTCTTGATCTTGTGACATTTTTTAGTCTGATTTCAAAATCAAGCAACTGGTTTGTCCTTCACTTCCAATTTGTTCACACCTATTACACTATTTGAGTAGTGATACCGCTAATAACATTATTTACAATGATTCCTGCCACAGCGGGGAAATACGCTGCTTTTGAGGAGTTCTATACTTTCAATACATCCCTGATTTATAATCTCATGCATGAATGAACTTAAAATATTTCAAGAAGCCTGGGAATTCAAATGTCTTGCACATTTTAGGAGGATCTGAGGCAACGCAGGCATCTAACAGCACACATACCTTTCATTATAGAGCCAGGCTAAGAAGCCAGTGCTGTTCCAGTAGGAATCCGGGGCACCCCCATCTCCATCGGCCCACAGGACCTCGGGCTGGTACTTGTTCACTAACTCATAGAGCTCTGGCAGCATCTTAGCAGTTGGAAATTTTTGCGCATGGAAGGAACTGGATTTATCCTCAAGAAACAGTGGATGAAACCATTCAAAAAGGGAATAGTACAGTCCAAAGTGCAAGTTGGTTTCCTTCCTAACAGCCAGCTCGAGCTCCTTGACAACGTCCCTCTTCGGCCCCTCATCTACAGCGTTCCAGTTCCAGGAATACTCAGAACCCCACAAGGTGAAGCCTGAAAAGTGACAGAAAACACTCTTGTCAGCATTAGCAAGTTCACTCTAATCAACTTCTACCATCAAAAATACTAGAACAAGTCAGAAGTGACTGATACATAACTGCTTCTACAAGTAACTGTTTTGTGGCATCTTTTTCATAGTATATTCTGCTTTTGTAAGAGAAACAAATGAGAATCTAAACAGGATGAGGTGGAGATTTTTATAGGTGAATTTCATCTGCGTAGTCTGTGCTATCTCTGATACTTTTTCTCTTAGACTCTGAGATCCTTTGGGGAGTAGTATCATGTCTGCACTGTCCCAGTTATGTCCCAACCAACTGCTAGCACAGGGCCTAACGTCAAATAAGCAATCAGCAAGAGCAAATCATCGCTGTGGTAGAAACATCTTACGCGTCTATTAGGGCAGACAATGACCACCAATGTGTACCATGCAAGATTTTTATCTGTCTTCTCAACCAAAGATTAGGGCATGTTGCCTTGTCTTAGAATTATCTATTTTTATTTAGTATGCTCTCAGACCACTAGTGCTCAAGTGATAAATGTTCTTTAGCTTGATAACTCATTTAACCATAGGAGAAAACTCACTATTTCCAACTAGTTCTGTACTTTTGCAGGCTCATCCTACTCTGAAGTCTCAAGTTTGGATGCTGCTCTTTAAATTACCCAACAGTGAAGAATCTACCAACTAAGTAAGAAAAATAATGCACACCATTACATGTGTGCTCTGAAATAATTTACATTTTTACAGAAATTTTCATTTAGGTTGATAGTTGTTCTGGGTTTTTATTTGGTACCAGTCTCAGGGGGGTCAAACTCACGACCACATGCTTGCAAGACAGGCGCTTATGCCGCTGAGCTAAATCCCCGGCTAGATTGGTAGTTGTTCTATTTGGATGTGTTAGAAGAGATATATAAACAGAAACATCTAAGAAATACTATAAAAGCCTCAAAATGTCAGCTGGTGCCTATTATTCTACTAAAGTGCAAAAGAATCTTTGCAAATAGGCAATAATAAGATGCTTTATGGATCACTGTACTCACAATGAATTAGGACAAGTCTAAGATGGACTCACTCTTCAGGTTCATTGTGAGATTTTAAATAGCTTATACTTATTCTAAAGTTATGCTGTGTCCTCATCCGTTTTTTCTCCACTGGATCTGGTACTGTGCAGCTTCTGGGTCTTCTCCAAAGTCCGGATGATCAGGAAAGGTAAATGTTTTGAGTCTGTTCAGGACAGTGAGGAAGCCACCACAGCACCGCTGAAAACATTTGTGACAGAGTCCAGAACTGCTTCAGAAAGCGGCAAGAATGGTGGTATGAAGTGTTCAGTGCGAGGGTGGGAAGCACTCTGAGGAAGGTTACTGGCAGTGTGTCTTTTACTGTGTCATTTTGTTTTTGTTTTTTCACTGGTTTTTGGTCTTTTTTTTTTTTTTAATCAGTACCAGGGATCAAACTCATGACTGCCTGCTTACAAGGCAGGTACTTATGCTGCTGAGCTAAATCCCCAGCCCCCTTTTCATTGGTTTTTGAGACAGCACCTCACCGTATAGTCCAGTCTGCCTTGAACTCGCTATGTGGCCCAGCTGGCTTAGAACTTGGTGATCCTTTTGCCTCTGTCTGCTGAGAGCTGCATCACAGTTTTTAAAATGTAAACATTCACCATATTTTTTTAGCACAGCTTGTGCCATACAGCTTCGAGAAGTTCCTAGCTATCAGGAAACAACAGGTTCTCAAAGTAAATACGATTTAAAAATGTTCATGTTAGTAGAAAAAAAAAACCTATAGGAAAAAATCATGAAGCTACCAGATTATGGCAAAGGAGGAGAAGTATTTCCATAATTTTGTTTTGGTTTTCTCCTCCTACTCCACCCTTGGGGGAAAAAACAATGAGGTAAAATGTCACACATTAAGGCAGAGCAGGTCACGCAAAGGAAATTACTTAGTACATTAGCATCAGGTTACAACAAGAACTGTTGACAGCTTCCTGGTCTCACAGATACTGAGTTATATTAGGTGAAGTCCAACCAATTTTTGGTTTTTTGTTTAATTCGTATTTTGGGATTCTGTTTTGTTTTGTTTTGTTTTGGGTGGTTTTGCAACAGGGTCACTATGTAGCCCAAACTAGCAGCCACGAACGTGTGGTCCTCCTTCAGCCTCCCGAGTGCTGAGATTACAGCGTGTGCTACCTCATCCAACTCTATCCTGTTAACACAGGAGCGCGGGGTTGTGTTTTATGCGTTCTTCGCAGCACATTATAGCTCTTAATTGTTTTCCTGGCCATCCAGGCAATCTGCGTTACTTTCAATTCTAGCACCTTATCCTCCATTTGCACCATTTGGCCACTTGTCAGTCACTTTTCTTGTTGCTGAGACCACATACCAGGTGCCCAAAGTTCAAGGAGGAAAGGTAAATTTCAGCTCAAAGTTCACAGAGGTTTCCGTCCATAGTCAACTGGCTCGAAGGCAGGGTAGCATGGCAGAGGGGCATCACAGAGGAGAAGCAGTCCATGGCAACAGGGCAGGCAGAAAATCACAATCAGCAATAACAGCCCTCTTTCTGTCCTTATGTTCTAGCCAGGATACCCACCCATAGGATGGGGAGCACTCATACTCAGGACCGGCCACCCGTAATCCTAGCATCATTCCAGGAATCAATTGCAGCATCCTTAATCCCTCCCAACATCAAATACCTGAATCCTGCCACCTCTGAAAAGCTCCTTCTGTGACCAGTGAGGCTTTGGGGAAACATTTAGTCACAAGTCATGACACACACACACAATGGCACAAAATCACAGAAGCATAATTCACACAATGCCTTTGCACAATGTCTTAGAACAAAGCAAACGACCAGGCATGATGGCATACATCTGTAATCTCAGCACTTCGAATGCTGAAGCAGAAGGATTGCCATGGGTTTGAGGCTAGCCTGGTCCATCTACATAGTTAGACCCTATCTCAAAAAAGAAAAAAAAAAAGATGAAGCCAAAAAGCTGGATATGGTAGCACATTTCTATAATCCAAATACTCTCAGAGGCTAAGGTAAAAGGATCATAAATTCGAGCAATTTAGTGACACAGGAAGACACTATCTCCAAATAAAAAATAAAAAGTACTGGGAAGGTAGCTCAGTGTCCCAAGTACCAGAGAGACAGAGACAGAGACACATACTCAGAGAGAGACAGACAGACAGACAGAGAGGTGTTTCTAATAGTAAATTTCAAAGGGCAATATCCATCCCACTTCAAAGAGCTTTAAGCAAATCTTGGAATAAATGTGCATATAACTAACCCTGACCACTTTTCTTCTTGTTTTATGGAGCATACAATCTGTCTTTATTGCTATTGGTCCGCAGTGTAGGCAGAACACGTGGTCCTTAAGTTATAAGCAGTATCAGTCACCACTTCTGGTTGCTGTTAACAGAGAACCGACTCCAGTGACCCCTGCACTCCAGTCTCTTTTTGGCCACCGCCACGCCTGTTTACATCTGCTGGGTTTACTCACCTTCGTGATGTTTGGAGGTCAAGACGACATACTTGGCACCAGAGGCCTGAAGAATATCTGCCCACTGGCTGGCATTAAAGAATTTTGCAGTAAAGAGTGGTCCAAAATCTACGTATTTAAAATCCGGGGGGTAATTATCTTTCATAAAAGCCACGTATTTTGGTATCTTTTGGTTTTGCCAATACCACCTACAGGAGGAGAGGAAAGGCACATCAACAGCATAGGCACAAACCTTTGAAATAAGCACCCCAGGACCCTCTGGCATCTCCCCTCCTCGAATGCCACCCAGATGCTCCGTCACTTCCCCTTCACTTAGACTTTGCCTTAAGGAAATCTTAGGTAAACCAAAACTCCCCTCTTATTTTCCACCTATTCACTGTGACATCTTGTCTGCCACAAACTAGAACATTCTAGACAACACATGCTTTTAATTCATCACTCTATAATCACAACATACAGTATGTTCAAGCCCAGCCTTGGTCACTTGGAGACTTAGTGAGACATGGCCTCAACATGTGAATGCCCTGGTTCAACCCTCAGTGACACGCGCACGAACACACACACACACACACACACACACACACACAGATTACTTGTATTTTCTATGAACACAACATCAAACTCAAACTGCTTCTACCAAGCTTCACAAACAAAGTACACTGAAAATATCTCAGACTACCAGCTGGGCCAGTCCTCACAGAGCTTAAGCAAGCATCTCTGCCCCATCCTCCACTTCATCCACCTCCCCTCCTTTACTGAATTTCTACAGGGTAAGCAAGTCCACAGTCAGCACTGCATTCCAAAAATGACCAGGAGGCTTTTATGGCTGCTAAGTCCACTCAGGGCACGGCGAGCACTGTCCTGTCACGTGCTCGATCCACAGTGCCGGGTGTACTTCCCCTGTGTCTCACAGCTGCAACACAGATGCTGCCACGCTAGCGGCTTGTCTTGGTTACTCTTCTTGGTTACAAACACTCCACACCCAAAATGAAGGAAGGAAAGGTTTATTTAGCTTACAGTTTGGGGAAGTTTCAGTCCATAATCAGCTGGCGCCAAGGCAGGGTGGTGTGGCTAAGGGGCAACACTTCAAGGCAGCAGCCAGCAAAAGCAGCCAGAGCAAAATGGGGACAGAGCAGGTCTTTCTTCCTCTCTTACGCTGTGCATGAGCCACCCCAACTCCACCAGGGCTGGTGAAGCACTCATAAAATCTTGCCCTTCTCTTGCACAGGCTGAGGATGTTTACAAAGTAAGAACTCTGGCTCCCAGCTGAGTCTCTTAGTTACACTTCCAAACTTCTCAAGTTGACACAACCATGACACATTGAGACAGAATAAGAAAATAAAGAAGAAACAAAGTTGGAGTCAAAACAGCTTCCTTCCTCTCTGGGTGGAAGAAAAGGAATTATCTGTTCACTGCAAGGGGTTAATTTGAACCTTCTTAGCAACTTACTGTCATATGATACCCTACTGTCCTAACAGTCCACCCTTGGGATTGTCATGGGGCTAGGCTTCTTTGGGCTGAGGCAGCTTCTTCACATGGCTTGCCCCAGGCGCTCTTTGTTCTTGGGCTGCTCAAGTGTGATCAATTTCCAGCTTTAAGGGCTCCTCACAAGATGCCAGGCCAGAGGCCCAGTGGCTCTTAAAGGGAAGGCCACCCCAGAGGTGCGAGGAAGGGTGTCCTTCCTGAAGGCAGCAGGACCTACATCTTTGACTTCAAGGACTTCTAAACTTTCTTTTGATGCTGGAGATTGAACCTAGGGCCCCAGCCTGCATTTTTGCACTTTTAAAGTTAAATTAAACTACAATGATAGTACAAAATACAGAGATAGATGTTCTGTAGATGGGAAGGGGATCTAGAGATGGTGGGCGGGCAGGAAAGGGAGAGAAGAAATGAACAAGAATGAAGATGTCTTGCACCAGCTGCCCGCAAGGAGTGTGAGCACTGTGCACAGAAGCATGGGCCAATAAAGGTACATATTATAAAAACTGAATTACAAAACAGGAACAGAAAGCTGAGCACAGATACACACACGCATATCCACCTACACATGCATAAACAGAGGGCGTCTCTTCTGAAGGACTTCAGATTTCAAGCAATGAATCAAGAAAGGCATGCACAACCAGTCAAGAAGTTACATACACTTTTTAAAAAGTTTCAAGACAAAACCTAAAGTGCATCATACATATCCTTCTCGAGGCCTTTAAAAAAAATTCCAAAGCTAGGGAGATAGGCAGGGGATCACTCTGGTTGAGGCCAGCCTGAACTATGTAAACTGTCCCAAAAAAGGGGGCGGAGCTGGGGATATAACTCAGCCGAAGCTGCCTGGCAAGCACAAGGTCCTGAGTTAGATTCCCGGTACCAAAAAAAAGCAAACCAACCAAACAAACAAAAAACCCTTTTAAAAATTCCTGCAGGCGGGCAGGCTGAAACGTTAACATAAATAATCAGCGTGCAAACAAGGCGTGTGCACGCCTCCACCTGTGGTCCTAGCCACCCAGAGGGTTCCTGGGGCCCAGAAGTCAATGCCTTTCAAAAAACACAAAACAAAACCCCACCAATGTGTGTGCAATTGTACAGCCGCTTGCAACCGCAGATGTGCTTGAACCACAGTCTTCGGGCAGAAAGACTGCAAACCAACACGCGAAGGTCTGAGTTTCAGGAAACACAAATCCGCGGCTGCCTCACAAACCGACCGAGTTCCCTGGTGCAGCTCTCCAGAGGCTGCAAAGCCAGGCGCGGCCCAGTGTGTCCGGACACACTCGCGCTCAGACCGAGGAGAAACGAAAACAAAACCGCGCACCGGGCGCGAAGCGGGCGGCCGCGGCACCAGCGACCCCGGAAGTGCCGCGCGGGGCAAGGGCGCCGGGACGCCGGGCGCAGAGCGGGCGCTCACCAGAACCACTCGCTGCCGAAGCTGGGCACGGAGTACACGCCCCAGTGGATGAAGACGCCGAACTTGGCCTGGTCGAACCACTCGGGCAGCGGGCGCGCGTCCAGCGACTCCCAGGTGGGCGCGAAGGGCGCGGCGCCCACGGCCGGAGCCCGCGTGGGGCGCGGCAGCAGCAGCGGCAGCAGCAGCCCCGGGAGCAGCCGCGGGCACCGCATGACCCGAGCCCGCCGCGCTGCGCTTCCGAGTGCAGCCAGACGCGCCCCGCCACGGTCACCTGACCCGGGCGGGCTCGGTCAGATGACCCGGCTCCTGCCGCTCCCGGCTGGGAGTGGCTGCTCTGGGGCCGGAGGGCCTCCCTCGGGCGCGCGACCCAGACACTTGCTACCCAGCCCGCCTGTGGTTGCGAGGCTGACGCCCGGTCCACCGCCAGGAGGAGGCAGCGAGCCCTGGGACTCATCAACTGGCAAGGGAGACCAGGACCCTCGAAGGGCCAGAACTCAGAAGGCAGAGGCAGGGTGTCTCTTGTGACCTGGAGCTCGGAACGTAACCTAGGTCGTTCTCTTCCTCTGCTTTTACCCCAAGGTTTCGGGGTGATTGCACCCAGGCTTTCAACCTGGAATCGGTATTGAGTGAAACCGCAAGAGTGTCAGGTTCAGGTCATCTGGGAGTCTGCCTTTCAGCCCAGACCCCAGGCGACATCTCTTCTGAGGACCAGGGCTGCTGCATCAGACAACCTGATGACCCCAGATGGTGATCCGGGTGGGGGGAATGGTTAAGAAATCTGAGTGCAGGCCTGGAAAGAGGAGACGCATGAAATGATTTATCACGGACTCCTGCTGAAGCCATCTCTTCTGTGGCTAAAATACTTCCAGCGCAAAGCCAGAACTGCACCTGTTTCGAACTTGCAAATCCTTCCTTGGGTCACCTCTTCTGTGTCACTTTCTGCCACTCACTTCCTCCCTAGACTCCAGTGTCCCTCCTAACACCTCCTTCCAGCCTCTGGCTAGAAGTCCGTGCCATGGCCTGAGGTCATGGATGCAGACCTGATTTCCCCAGAGGCTGTGCGATTCAACAAGGCGGCCACAACAACAATCCTGGGGTCATCCTGCAGGTGCAGCCAGCAGCACCGAGACACCTTGGCTGAAGTTCTTCCAAGTCAGTGAACGCAGAAGTAAGTGACAGAAGTAAGTGAGGGCAGTTTCATCTCTACAGAGCTCATGGCTCCTTGGACAGCAGCCCACAACTTCCTGATGGCTGTCTGGAAGAGCGGGCTCTGGAAATCCGCCAGACAGCCAACCTCAATAGTCCAGTTTGATGTAAGACAAGATGACAATTTTTATTATCTAGGCTTAGAAACCTAGGATGATCTAAGGCCTCAGGGCACATTGGAACACAAAATGGGCTTTTTGTCCTTCCTAATCCCAGGTTTGCCCAGCTATTGCAGAAGATATTTTGCAGTCACAGTGACTTTGTGAACTGTCAAAAGGACCATCCTCGCTGACAGCATGGGTCTCTCAGCATCATTTCCCAAGTGAATTCCAAGTAGCAAAAGATTCTACCTTCTGAACAATTATTTTATCATGCAATAAATGATTTACATTGCTGTGTATTTCAGGTTAAGAGTGCTAATCAGAAAGTGGTCAACATACACACCGCTGGGAGATGAAGATATTGTTTAGTTAGTAAGTACAGCCTAACACCAGGTATGGTGGCACTTGTCTGTCATCGCAGCACTCAGGAGACTGAGGCAGGAGGAATGCCACAAGTTTGCAGCCAGCCTGGGCTACATAGTGAATTCAAGGCCAGCCTCTCTACACAGCAAGACCTGATCTCAAAAACCAAGCAAACAAACAAGCAAACAAATGTATAATCGTATCATAAAAGTATAGACTGTAGGAAATACTGAGAACATATTGAAAATCTCCTTCAAATCCTAGAGAATCCTAGAATAACAGATTGAGAACCCCTGACTAGAATTTGAAAGGAACTATATAGCATTATTTGGAAGTGAAGAGGAAGAAGAGATCCTACTGAGTAAACAGTATTTGTTAAATGGCAGAAAGAAGCACAGAGCTCCTTTTCCTGTCTTTTGGGGAGCCACAGACCTCCATGGAGATTATGTCAATGAGGCCTAATCTGCTGGTTTCTTCTGAGGGACTTGCAAAGCTGCTTTTGCTAAAATAATAATGATGATAACACTTGAATTGGGTTTATAGATATCCAATGGGTAATTAAAAGCAGAACAAATCATGATCTTCATTTTGTAGCTCTCTCTCGTTCATTACCTTCAGACTTTGGTTCAGAACCCTGCTCAGCTCTGCATGTGAGTGTGATCATCAGTCAGCAGTGATTATAGAAACCTGGTAATACAAGCCAGGCATGGTGGTGCATGCTTGCAATCTCGGGCATCCTGGGGGGCTGAGGGTCACTTAACAAGGCCCTGTCTTGAGCGAGCTACAGACATAACTTCATGCAAAGGCCTGGGGTTCGATTCCTAGTAGCAAAAAAAGAAAATGAGATGGAGCAAAAAGTGGAAAGGAAAGGAGACAGATGTGTTATGTACAGAAACCAACACCCATGGCAAATGGAATCTATGTACTGCAAATATCGACTAATAAAAATAATGATATAAAAAAAGGAAAAAAGTAAATGGAACAATTTTCAGGATTAATAGGGACATTGGATTAGTAACTTTCACAAGGTGTATTTCCAGACTCCGTCTCTGGAGCATCTAGCATCTCCAGCCACTGTTTGGGGTAAAGCCTCGCTGACCACTCCGTGAGAGCATGGGAACCAAAGTGCCCATCAGGTCCCCAGGCCTCCTGCAGATCTGCTCAGCCAGAGCCTGAGATAATGATCCCCAGGCCACAGCCCACTGCAGTCCCCTGAAAACTATTGTTTTGAAAACATGTCAGTCTGGTTCATCTCGTCAGACTTGTGCTCCCTTTGTTTTTTTTTTTTTTTTTTTTTTTTTTTATTTTGTTTTGTTTTGTTTGTCTTTTTGAGACAGGTTCTCACTGTACAGTTCAGGCTGGCCTTGAGCTCACTTGGTAGTCCAGGCTGGTTTTGAACTTGAAACTGATAGAACTGTAGGGGACCGGCGGAGGCTGAAAAAATAAGTATGAAATATAAATGACTTTTATTTTGAGAATGCGGGAAGAGACCCCCCACATACACCCTGGGGCTGCGGCATCCCCCCCACCCCCCGTGGAACACGTGGAGTGGGGGCATACATGTAGCTTAGGTTGGGGTAGCGCCTGAGGGGAGCATTAGGGATGCACAGGTAGCCCATTGGTATTCTTTTGGTGCCATAGATAAATTCCTAGGGGTGGGGGAGATGGAGCGCCTTGGTTCTGCCTGAGGCTTTACTAGCTACAGTGTCCTATCTGGGCCAAAACTCTTTCAGAAACAATCCTGCCTCAGACTCCCAAATGCTGGGATTACAGGCGTGCACCACCGTGCCTGGCTTCCTTCAGTTTTTCAAATGGAAGTCTTTTTTCTGTCTCCTCTTTCTTCTTTTTCTATGGGACCACCTTAATCTTTGCATGAGCCATGTTTCCTATTTCCTCTTTCTTCTCAGTTGAAGCTTTTTCCTGTAAATTTGTGCTAATTGCCTCCAGTTTAGTTTCCACTGTTACTGAAGCAAAACCAGAATCAGGTCATCATCAAGACCCAGCAAATCCTCGAAGCTGTCTCCTTCCTCCATCCATGGAGCATTCTGAGCCTCTCTGGCACAACTGTGCCTTTTGCAGCCCTTAAACTGAAACATCCTCCCTATTTTCTCCCCTTTTCTAATTCTGCCTAGTAGATCAGCCCATGCCTATCCTAAAATACTGTTCTATGGTGATGTCAAGAACCTTCCTGTACCAAATTGAGGTCCTCATTGAAAGAATTTTGCCCTAGAATAAGTTACAGGCCATGAGGCGGTGGAAGGCCGAAGGGGGATGTTTACCTGAGGTCGCTTCCTCCTTCCCCTGTTACAACTTCCTTTTTCCTTTCCCAGTGCACAATGAAAATTCCAAACAGCTCTTTGCGCATCATCAATACCCGCCCTAAGCATCGCCATGGTCAAAGGTTACATATATCCCGTACCCCATATCCCGGTTGAAGGAGACAGCCCAGCCACCATGGGTTGTGTGCTCCTTTCCACATCACCTCAATAAACCTATTTGTTTTGCACTTTTACTTCTCAATTGCACCAGAAAACTCATCTTCTTGGACCTCATCCAATGATAGACTGAGGTCACTTGGAAGTACAGATGAAGGAAAGAAGATGAGGTCACTGCCTGGTGGTAACAGGCACACCTCGTGGGGTCACCATAGCCAGCAGCCATCCGCTGGCTTCTGCTGGTGCGCACCGTGGGAGGGTGGGGGAGGCCAGGGGACCAGGCCTTGCCAAAGTCCTTGATGCTGCCGACCAAGCAGTCCTGCTACTGACACCAGCTGCCAAGGGTGGAACTGATATCTGCATGGCTCTTGAGAACGCGTCCTGGATATTAATATAGGAGTCAGAGGACAGCCGCTGACCAGTCCTAGAACTTCCTAGAATTCCTCTAAAACGGGCAGTGGGAGAAGTGAGGCATTCACCTCGCAGCTGGCAACATTACGGAGTTCCTCTCTGGAATGCAGAAGGCAGGCTTGCAGATGCACAGAGCCCACGCAGTCTTCACCAGATAAATCACCTGGCTTCACTGGTAACAGCACCGATGGCATATCAGGAACAAGAGGAAAACATCCCCTTCTGGGGCCTAGGAATAGAGGAGTGCAGAAAGGGGTCACGAGGTTCAGAAGAGGGAGAGCACCAGGTCCCCAGGTGGGCTCACCCTCTGCCACAGGCCGTGCAATCCTGAGGGACACAGTCCCCTGCTGTGCTTGTTTCCTGCCTCATCAGTGTGCATGGCGATGTCACCAGAGGGACTGAAGGTCTCCAAAAGAAGAGATGAGGACCTCAACTTGGCCTGTTGAGTAGGTTCTTGACCCTCATCTTAGAAAAAGAATTTCAGAATTGGGCACAGTGGTGCATACCTATAATCCCAGCACTCTGGGAGGCTGAGGCAGGAAGATTGTTGTGAGTTAAGACCAGCCTGGGCTACAAAGTGAGTTCAAAGCCAGCCTGAACTGCATAGTGAGACCCTGTCTCAAATAAATAAATAATTTTCTGCCTAATAAAACCCCTCCCATGCCTTAGTCCTAAAAATTGCTTCTTTCTGCAATGAAAGTTAGCAAACCAGTGAATCTGTCCTTATCTCAGGTTTGGGAATCC